GTGGTGATCTTTTCTGGGACCGCCGCCAGACCGTTCCAATTTCATTTCTGCCGCCGAGGACGAAAATTAGGGTAACAACCGCTGCAACGATGTCCGCTGTTGCGTCTAAAAGCGAAACTTTCAAACGGTTTCAAGGATTTCGTCAGTCGTTGGTTTGCCTTTTGAGGTCATTTTACACATATCCCATACACATACAAGTATCTCATACATTTCCCATAGGTGCTATTACTGTTGGCACCTGAACAGAAATGCCCAGGCAGTGTTGTTGTTGGTTTATCGAAAACCACTTAACTAGAAGTCAAAAGTGGTAACACTTTTGCCTTGGGACACTCGAATGCCTATGCCTGTCATGTGCTATCCAGCACAGAAGAAATCGAAATTAAATACAAACAAAACCGTTTATAATGAGCAAGTAAGTCCCATCCTCTGGCCTCTGGCGAGAGAAAGATCTGTTTCTAGGAAGGCAGCTAGCCAGGCCGACAAGCAAGAGGGCAATCGGCCATTCGGGCATTCGGGCACCCGGGCAGCCAGTAGCCGCGCTCGGTCCGTCTGCGTCTGTCAACGGCGCTTGACTCTTGGTAATTGATATGTTTACCTTATGTACGTGTATGTACACATATACCTTTGGCAACGATGTAAAATAAAATGTAAATTGTAACTGATATCGATGCTAGTAATTTCTCAACATCAATGTTGATGTCTCGTGCAATGAAATTGAAAAATTGCGGAGGAGATAAATTCCTCACAACTGTCTGGCTGGTTGTCTGCATGTGTCGGGACAAGGGTTTGTTTTAGAAGCCAATGCCTAATTTCAAAATCAATCGATCCCATTCATTCCCATACCTTCCCTTCCATACGAACTAGGTGACAATTGCCTTTTATGAAAATTGATATTTTCAACCGCAATCGCTACACTATAGAGTAGGTATGTACAAGTATGTACATAGTTTCAATTGAAACTGACCACACACAGTTAGATTGCTAACTACTCTTTTATGGGTCATGGCAGGTATCGAAAAGGAAACACTGTTGCTCTCACATTCTCGTCCAATTACTAGCAAAAACGAAAGTGCTTGAATAGAGGTTTCCTATTTACAAACGGAAGAGGCGTGGACTATAATTAGAGCTGCACCAAACGTGTGAAACTTCAAGTACTGAACAATTAGTGCAACAACACGTTACTTCCGCATTGCATCTCATATACGAGTATGTGTCCAATTGCGTATGCGGTCATTTCTAAGTTCAGCAAATGACAAATTTACCACAACCCCATCTTACGATTTACGTATTGATGTCAACTTATCTTAAGTCAACTCCGGATTACGCCAAGCACAAGCCTTTTCGAGTATTTTTATCTAACTATAATACTTTTTATACCCTGTACCCGTAGGGTAAAAAGGGTATATTAGGTTTGTGCAAAGTATGTAACATGAAGAACGCAGCATCTCCGACCCCATAAAGTATATATATTGTGAATCAGCATGACGAGAGAAATCGATCTAGACATGTCCGTCCGTCCGTCTGGATGAACGCAAGGATCTCAGAAACTATAAAAGCTAGAATAACCAAAGTTGGTATCCAGATTCTCCTAGGTCCGAGAAAGGACGATTTATTTTATTTTTTAAATTTCCCCTCTCCCCCCCCCCTGCCCCCGCTACAGAATTTCGTCAATAGCGTCCACATTTCAAATGCTACCTAAATTAAACTTTGCACACATAATTTATATATAATTATCTACTGTTGTTCAATTCGGTCAATTCTAAGAAAAGTTATCAGCGAAACAAATTCTCTCCAGTGCAACCCCCCCAAACCGCAGCAACAAGTTCGCTCTTCTTGTTCCTCTTTTTGCTGCTGCTTTGGGCGCATATAACTCAGTGACGGAAGTTTACCTGGGTACAGGGTATTACACTATCGGGCTTGCTCAACTGTAGCGTTCTCTCTTGTTACTTTTTAATCTCAAGTGAGTTCTCTCGTTCCTCACTAAAATCTTCCCTTTCAGCTACCTCCGGCAGAATCACAGATCACCACTGCTGAGAGTAGGGGCATAGCTGGCCGGATTGGCTAATAAACCCTCCCCCAACGGGTTAGTGATTGTCCACCTTTAGCGTTTAATTATATTTTATCTTTTATTATTTAAGTATATAAAGTTTAATTTGTTGTTTTAATTTAATTATACTTCTTTATCTTTTATTGTTATTTTTCATCTCTTATGTAGGTCTAACAACGCCTCTCTCTTCTGTGAATCGGGTCATAGCTGGCAAATAAAATTCCCCCACCAAGTCGGATTCGTTATTAGATATTTTTGTTATTTCTATATGCCTTGTTTTTCTTTGTGTATTGTGTGATTTTTGTTTCCTACAAATAAAATAAATTCAAATAAAACTCTGAATAAGTTATACCCATATAATCTCTGTCAATGCTTCGCACTCAGTTGTTAAAGCTGCTGCTTTCTTCCAAATCTGGCACACAAAATCATTTACAAACAAAAACCTCATAATATGTATTTGTTTGATTAATTTTATTTAATAAATTTGAATTTAAAAATGTGAATGCTCTCGACCATGTTGGACTACTTGTATAATCCTAAACAAAAGATGAAGATGTAGTGCCAATACCTAAATTAATAGAAACATTGACATATTTATTTTTTATACAACATATCATTAGCATAATTACAAGGGAATTGGGCACTGATATGCGGCACATATTCAAAGGACTATAAGGATAAATCCAAAGACGTCCGTTTATTTTACTGCCGAGTGACGGAGAATATTTTTTAAGGCTCGATAATCATTTTATTTCGAGTTCTCCGAAATGTCCGCATTATTTGATAAATTGACCAAAAACTCGTGTTTGACTTAACGCCCCCGCGTGCGAGTCGAAGGGGTTAATTGCCTTTGTTGAGCTGTAAAAGCAAGGGAAATGAATCGCATGGCCACATATGTTCTATCACGTGTTCATAGAGTTGGCCAGCTATGACTAGACGCTACATAGAACAATTTAATTGCCCCAATTCAAACTGATGCCTACGCTGGACGTTTGGCCATCGTCTGACCGCCGTAAGGCACACAATAGAGTCGAGCATGTTTGCGCTGCACACATACAGATATACAAGTACGAGTATAGACATGCATACAAATATAAACAATAATCAATCTCTTCAAGGGCTAAACAAACAAGCACAAAGGCTGCGCAAGGACATGCTTATGAAAACGCAGCAACCAACATTGGAAGGCGTTTTTAAATTGATTATCTCTCTGGCAAGCCTAGGATTAGGTCAGTCCGTACTTTCGTAATAAACATAATCGACCGTATACATATTTATGAGAAAAATATAGATCACTTCTATAATCACTCAATTATCTACCAAATGTATATGCCATATAGGCGCATATTGTACGCTTGTATGTATTGATACCGCAAAATCCTCTACAAAGGCGCTGTGGCCTCTCAGCTGCTTAAATGTTAACCGTAGCTTTTTTACCACAAGTTGATATTTTTCCGCTTCATTAACTTTTTGCCCACACGCGTTCACATTTCTTGTTTTCGTTACCCTTTTTACGGGTTGTCTGACGTGTGTCTGCAAAGAAGTTAGCTGCCTAATTGCTCGGCTTGGCCATGCGCCTGCGAAAGGTATAGGTAGCCTGTGTGCGATCTAAACACCTCGTGTTTGCCGTATTGGTTCTTAGTTCATACGGTAAAAAATTAAAAAAATGTTTTTATTTCCGATTTTTTATATATGTACTTTATTTCAACACTCTACCATGCGACAGCTGCGACGATAACAGCACTTTATTTTTTGTTATGTTTGGAATCCATACAAGAATCTAGATAGACTACTGTTGGTGTGTGGTATTTTCGGTCGGGAGTAACAGAATAGAAATGGCTTATAATAAACGACACACTTAAACCATTTTAAATTCTCGAGTATCAAATTTCTAAATTATAACGGGAGAGGGCTGGCATCGTGTCTCCACTATCCTACCTCCAACCTCGAAAAATTGTTACTTTCTTTAAATACTTCCATTCCTAAGCTGAGACTGTAATCATTGTGTTATTTAACAAATTAAAAAATAATGATTTTTTTAAATTTGATTAATTCGCTCACAATTTAATGATTAATTTTGAGTTTTACTTTAATTAATTAATTAAATTTAATTAACCAATAATCATTACGATATTGATGAGCAAAAAAATAAAACTTATAAAATAATGTTTATTCTTTTTATACCCTGTACCCGTAGGGTAAAAAGGGTATATTAGGTTTGTGCAAAGTATGTAACATGCAGGAGAGAAATCGATCTAGACATGTCCGTCCGTCCGTCTGGATGAAAGGAAGGATCTCAGAAACTATAAAAGCTAGAACCAAACCAAAGTTGGCATCCATATTCTCCTAGGTCCGAGAAAGGACGAGTTTATTTTTTTTTAAATTTTCCCCCCCTCCCACCACTACATAATTTCGTCAATACTCACAACTTTGTTTTTATTTAAAAACGTGTTTTAACACAAAATTTTCTACTTTAGTCTTAAAGAAGAAAAGTTAGTTCAATTTAAATCAAGTACTATGCATAAAAGCTGCGGGAGCGGGTTTGCTCTTCTTTTTTTTTCTGCTCTTGCTATGGGCGCATATAACTCAGTGGCGGTAGTTTCTTGGATACAGTGATCGTTTGTAGCATTCGCTCTTGTTTTAAATTTGAATTGCTTACCTGACAACTAAATATTTCACATACCGAAGCTCACTGCCATAGAACTGAATGCAGATAATATTCAACCTATCGATATGCACTAATCGATTAATTAAATTTTTACATTTGGTTCTAAAAAATAAATGAATCACAACATGAAATTGTTATATTTTCATCAAAGACAGCAACTACTTATATATTTTTTCAGATATAATTAATCAAACGTGTTACACCTACTATTTTAACTCATAACAAAATAATAGCAACTGAACTACATCAGCAAATGAACTACTAGTTCATTAATCGGTGCGATGCATTTGTTCTAAGCGAAAACTGCTCAATAGAACAATTTAATTATATTACCTGGTCTTAAGTTGTTAGCTCGAAGCTTTCATCAAATTTGAAGAATGCCTACCATAGGAGTAAAGCGAGACCTTCTCTTCAAGGCACTGGGGAAAAAGTACAGTGAGTATTAAACAAGCCACGTGTAAGCACGTTTATCTAACACTTTCTTAATTTCAAGCGGACGACGAGTTCCAGGAACTCTGTTTTGCCTTTGGATTGGAGTTAGATGAAGTGGTAAGAAGTTATGTTGCAGAGAAGTGTGTTAAATTCTTATAACTTTACCTCCAGACAACGGAGAAACAAATGTTAACAAAGGAACAGGGAGATGTTGCTGCGGCTGCAAATGCATCCGAAGAAGTCATTTATAGAATTGATATACCCGCAAATCGTTACGATTTGTTATGCTTGGAAGGCCTGGTTACAGGCCTACTTGTTTTTCAGGGAAAGTACGTATATTTCCATATGTGCACATATGTATACATAAGTAAACATTTTTTATTACTTAAACCTACAGGCTAAAGCCCCCTAAATTTGATTTTGTTGAGCCTGTGGCACGTCAAGTACTGAAAGTCGACGCGTCAACAGCGCAAATACGTCCTTATGCCGTTGCCGCTGTCTTGCACAATGTAACATTTACCCAAGAGTCGTATAATAGCTTTATAGATCTGCAAGACAAGCTGCACCAGAATATTTGTCGAAAACGCACGCTTGTTGCTATAGGCACTCACGATCTTGACACCATTAAAGGGCCATTTAGCTACGAAGCGCTTGTGCCAGATCAAATCAAGTTTATACCCCTCAATCAAACGCAAACACTCAACGGAACTCAGCTTATGGACTTCTATGCTACGCACGCGCAACTTAAGCAATATTTACCTATTATACGCGACTCTCCAGTTTATCCAGTCATTTACGATTCCAGGCGCGTGGTTCTCTCTCTACCGCCTATCATCAATGGCGACCATTCGAAGATTTCACTAAACACGCGAAACGTATTTATAGAATGCACAGCCACAGATTTAACCAAGGCTAAGGTGGTGCTGGACACCATTGTGTGTCTATTTTCTGAGCATTGTCAGCAAAAGTTTACGGTCGAACCGTGTGATGTTGTGCTTTCAGACGGCACAGTGGTATCATATCCCGAATTAGCCGTACGCGAAGAGTACATTTCAGCCAAACGTGCCAATGCTTACATCGGCATCGATGAGACACCGGACAAGCTGGCCAACATGTTGACACGAATGTACCTAGAGGCTAATGTAGATGCTGCCAATGGAGACTTGCTGTGTGTCAAGATACCGCCGACACGCCACGACGTAATACATGCTTGCGATATTTATGAAGATATTGCTATTGCCTTCGGCTACAATAAAATAAAAAAATCACTGCCAGCTTTTATGCAAATAGCAAAGCAGTTTCCGCTCAATAAGCTCACGGAACAACTTCGCGAGCAAGTAGCTCAAGCTGGCTTCACAGAGGCTTTGACATTTACGCTATGCTCGCGAGATGACATAGCGCGCAAGCTCAATAAGTCGATCGAAGCTATGCCCGCTGTTCATATAGGTAATCCAAAGACACTTGAGTTCCAAGTGGTGCGCACCACGTTACTGCCTGGACTTCTTAAAACCCTGGTCGCGAATAGAAAAATGCCGCTACCTTTGAAATTGTTTGAAATTAGCGATGTCGTGATTGCAGATGAGGACACTGAGGTTGGCGCCCGAAACGAAAGGCGCTTGTGCGCCGTTAACTGCAACAAAACTGCAGGGTTCGAGGTAGTGCACGGCTTGCTCGATCGCGTCATGCAGCTACTTGAAGTGCCCTGGAAATCGGGCGATGCTCCAAAAGGCTATTACCTGCAAGCTACTGAAGGTAAGTTTAGTCCATGTGTTGTTCAAAATGAGTTTGAATAAGTTTGTTCTATTTTGTTCGACGAATTATCCGTCTATCAAACTAGCTTATTTTTCATTAGTAATATCTCTTGGTAAGTGTGCAAGGGTCGTGATGGATGTCGGCCCGGATATTCTCCCAACTGTCACTACGGTTGGAGTGATTTGCGTACTGTGTGTTCCGCACGCCGATAATTTTCTTCTTTATAAGAGAAATAATTCGAATATTAGCCATAAATTTCCGAATAATTTGCTTAAAATATGTTTTCAGATCCCAGCTATTTTCCGGGCCGGTGCGCTAAAATCAAGTATAATGATGTCGTTATTGGCAAAATTGGGGTGCTTCATCCTACAATACTTCAAGCATTCGAGCTGACTACGCCCTGCTCCGTCGTTGAGATTACCATCGAACCATTTGTATAGGCTTATATGTACATCAGATTTCGAAAATATATTGTATTTGCTGCTCCCTGATACGCTAAATAAATGAACAGAAGTCACAATAATAACGCGCCGTTTTTGTTTAATTTTATTTATGCTGTTTAATGTTCTTTATATTTATAATAATAATAATCCGTATAATATGTATTTAATATATGTAGTTTTTCATCCGTATGCATACTTCGCTCATGCTATGAAGTATTTATTTTTTAAATTAATAAATCTAAGTGAATAACACGATTCTGCTTTTCATATTATGTTTTTGTTTAAAATTTAATTTCGCTTGAAAAAAAATTCTTGATTTGTTTGCTGTCCTGCATTTCAGCTATCTGTTTTGTTTGTTAATAAATTTGTTTTTAAAGACCATGGGGCATATTCACTTGTATTTAACTTTTTGCGGCTATGTAATGTTCTGCATTAACTCTCTTGCATTTATGTATGTATGTATTATGCATGTATATTTATCAAATACCTTTAACGGCCTTTACTCATTACATAATTTGCTTGCAGCTAAAAAATAATATTTGAAACAAAACCAAACGAATGCACAGAAAAAATGTTCTTCCTTATTTAATGCCGTTAAAATCAAATTTAATTTCATTTGATGTTCATGCATGTGTAAAAGCCATATATGCATAATTTGTATATGGTTGTTTTTATTAGCAACATCTTGTTTTACCCCCCCTCTAGCATTTTATATAATCTTACAAAGCAACTTTTATCCACTGCCATGCACTGGACGCCACTTGGCTGACAGCTTCTTTCTCTGTGTGTTCTCGTGTGTTTTTATACATCATTTGTTTTAAATTTTGAAACAATCGAAAATATGTGTTTGCATATGCTATTTCTATGTCTACTCGTTAGTGGTTGAAAAGCATCGAAATGGCAAGCAAACGCTTTTTTTTGCTATACTTTGTCTATGCTGTTTTAAAGTTTTGTAAGTGGAATATTAAAATGTTACTTGACCTTTATATGTTTAATTATTTAAGCAATTTCTACTAGCTACATTTTAGTTTTTCAAACTGCTCATGTTGTGAATGCATGTGACCTTTTAAAACCTTCCTTTCACTTGAGCAACAAAAATAGATTTGACAAACGAAAATAAACCCATTGTCAATAAATTATAAACCAATCTCTTTTGTTCGTTTGTCTGCTGTGGTTGTTTTTGTAAGCTTTCGTTCCTCAAATATATAACAATTGGGTAGTAAATGTTTATGTTAGTAGTAGTTTTAAGTAATTTCTTGCTGGTTTTTGTTGAATGCTTGTTGTTAGCATTTTCAGATAATCAATTTTCTTCTTTTTGTTTTTGTGTTTCATATTTCATAGTTCCGTTTTTCCAAATTTGTGTATGTTGTTTTATTTTTATGTGTTTTAGATGATTTTGAAAGTTGCAATAAAAAATAAGAGAAACTCTGTCCCTTGATTCACAATTTGAAATTCATTTCTCGCTTTTATTTTTAAATATATATGTAACTCATTTTAGCTTTGCTTCCGCTAATTAAACGTTAAAATTTCATTCATAAGACTGATTTCTATCTTAAAATTAAATATATATGTATGTATGTATATGTGTGTGTGTGTGTGTAAGTATTTATATGCATGGTTGTGTATTCACCCGAAACAATAATTTACTTCATGTTTCTCATTCAACAAAATATTGAATTATCTTTTAAAATAAATAATGTATATATTTTTCCATTTATTCTGTCTTGTATTGGTGTGGCTGTGAATTCGTATAGGTATGTTTGCGTGGTGCCTAATTTCAGATTACCAGCGAATTTAAACACCCCCAAATCTAAACATCAATATCGAAAATAAAAAACGAAGCAAAGAACGTGTTTTTCATGGGGAGGGGGTTAGCCGAATAGAAAACGTAAAAAAAAAACGGTTACAAAATTTGCATTCTTAAATTTGTGTGTGCAACAATAATTGCCGCCTGTTGTTGTTAGTTTTGTAGTTGTCGCAATTTCAGATTTGTTTCGTCCTTGTCGTGATTACCCTGTCACCTTTTGAGTATCATCATATAGGTCAGAGGTAACAGATTTCTTTGATTTTTTCATTTACTGCTTGCTTGTGACGTCCTGTTTAATTTAAACGGACGCTGTTTGTTGCTGTTGGAACATCAATTCGACCAGTTTGTTGTATAAGTGGTCCAAGGCTGCTGCGAAATCAGTAACAATTGTCAATCGCACCTTAATGATAATGCTGCGTGCACCACTTACGTGTTTCTCATGGTGGTCCCAAGATTCCACCTTTTCGGGCATGTGTGCTGGCATGTCAGCGGCGCCGGGTGCTCCAACGAAATGTTGAAAGCCGTACGAGGCCTGCATCATATTAACGCGTTGCTGGCTCTGCCCAATATTGTGCTGCGGTTGCATGTGTGGATAGTCCATTGGCATCTGTTGTGAAGACTTTAAATAAACATTCATATACATAAAAAGCCATCTATCAGCCCGTTTTTAAACTGGGTAGGTTTTTTCTTTACTAAAGGGTGCATTTTGACCCAACAATCAAGATTATAAAAAAAATCGATTTAGATTTAGCTCCGTTGCGATATGAAAAAAACACTTTAAGGACACAGATTTGAAACGATTGAGATCGAGATTTCGCGGGCAGAGATTACATTTATGATTATAATTTCTGTACATTTTAACTAATACTGCTTCAAGCACGAACCTTTCAATTTGAGTAAAAAAAATTTAAAAAAATTAGAATTAAGAGTTATTGAATATTACTTATAGCGGAGGAATGGTGTGGCATGTGTCTCCCACACAAGTTACTCCATTCGTGGACCTAGGAAAATCTGGATTCTAAATTGGTTATATATTGGCTTATCATACTGATGAAAAATGAATAACTGTTGCATTAATCAATTATACCCTTTTAGTGTTCCGAGTAGAACAGGGCAATACAAAGTAGAGCCTCCCCCAAACATACGAACAAGGCTGTATCATCACGCTAAGCACAGTACGACTCTTTTTAAATACTCACATTCATTGCTTCATGTTGCGGCTGCTGGGGATATGGTGCGCAAGCATTGTTATAAGGCCGATAAGGTTGTTGTTTCATCCAGTTTGGAGGCTGGGCCTGCTGCTGTAATCCTGGCGGCTGAGCCTTCGGCTCGTGGGCCCAGGGTGGCAGCACAGTGGCCAATCCATCGTCCATATTCAAGGCCGTGGTGGCAACATTAAAGTTATTGTACTTCCATGAGGCCCGCTCCGTGCCAATAGGGCGCGGCATCTTGCGTATGTCATCGTGATTAGGTGACATGGCAGATGGTGAGCTCATGCCAGCCATGGCTCCATTTTCCAAATGCAATATGTCACGCCCGCTGTATGCAGGATACTCCAGGGTGCCGCCGTACCACCGCTGCGGTCCGGGTCCTGGAACACCTGGCTGTCGACCTCCACCTGCCCCCTGTCGCGACTGAAACATATTGGACTGCGCGACTGCTGCCGCCTGGGCCTGCTGTTGATTGCCTTGCGCTTGTTGTTGGTTCTTGCCGTTACCTGCCTGTGAGAACACGGCGCCTCTAGTATTTATACGCAGTATATTTCCATCAACAATATAAGCCGAGCCCGGGTCCATAGCATAATTCATCGGCTGAGCTGTGTTACCCACTTTGTTATCATAAAGTAAACGTTGAAGGTTCGGCTGCTGTTGTCTGTCAATCATATTTGGTGGTGCCACAGAAGCAACCGTCGATGTTGCGGTAGAGCCAATGGCGCCGAAGTTTATATTACCCTGCGAAGGCTCTGAACCCGATGCTGGCATTTGAATTTGACTGCCTACGGGTCCGGGTCCTGGTCGCTGAATTGGCGCTGTAGGCGGCTTTATAACCCCAGGCGAGTGCCCTGTGGGCACATTGTTTCCATCGCCTACGCCCTGGCTGCCGTTCACTGTTGCATTGACTGCTGCTGCTGCTGATGCATTATCAGTAACTAGTGGTGATCTAGCCGCTGTCGAACCGCCACTGCTGGCAGATGTTGCACCTGCGGCATTCGTGGTAATTATGTTAAGTGCCTGTTGCACACTGTTACTGCCATTGTTGTTTTGCTGCTGTTGTTGCTGGATGACATTACCAACTGGTGGCGAGGTCGAATGATTGGACGAGGCCTTGGAGCTGCCCACGGGCGAACTAAGAATGTTGCGATTGTAACCGGGTGCCTTTGAGGCATCCGCCTGTGGCAACACATCGCCTACAATGGAATTAACGCCACTGACATTACTACATTGTGCACTATCGCCACCCACTAGCTTGCCCCATTGCGACTGATGATAGTCGCTGAATAGCGAATAGGCGCTGGACAGCTTGGCTGCGAGTTGGGCTCCAAAACTGTCATTGGTAGTATTCGCATTGACAGCCATTATATCATTGAGTATGTTGGTGTTGATTACCAGATTCTGTTGGCTACTGGTAGACGGCGTATGTTGCGGCTGGTGTTTCTGCTGCTGTTGCTGCGTTTGCAATGGGGAACTAGATCGCTTGTTGGGAGGCGCTATGGGAGTAACCGCGCGTGCTTTAACATTACTGCTACTGTTTATGTTGTTGGTGTTGTTTGAAACAGCGGCAGCTGCTGCTGCCGCAGCTGCATTAACAGCAGCTACGTCGGCCGCATTAAATGTGCCTATTGGTCCAGCCAATGTATTGTTGTTTCCTGCATTACCTAATTGGGAAGTAGACGTAGATGCTGTGACATTTGTAACCGGCTTCCCGCGTCCGTAGGGCGCCACAACACCGCTGCCGCGTCCAGAGTCCAACTTCTTGGGCGAAGCGGCGCTAGCCAACGTAGACTGTGTGCCACCACTAGACGTTCCCTTTATGACAAAGCTCTGCGATGTTGTTGAGGATTTCCCCTGGCCCGAGCTCTTGACTGGCATAGAACTATTCGAAGTAGATGTACTTGACTTATTTAGCTGTGTGCTTTCCTGCTTTGTTGACTTCGTGGTGACACCATTGGCTGGCGTATTCCCACGCGTAGTTTGCTGCTGTGTAAAGTAGGCCTTGTTCACTTGGCCGCCTCGGGAGCCACCAGATGGGGCGTTAGATTTGTTAGTAGCGCCCAATGATTTTGTAGTACCACCACGAGTGGACTGGGCCTTGCTGCTGCCACAACCTACTGCCAGTTGCTGCTGCTTGCTGCCGTTGTTTGGCAAATTATTGAATGAACCAGGTGTAGAACTGGCCGAAGAACTGGATGATGTCGATGTGGTGGAGGCTGCTGAAGAGAAGTTGCTAGTGTTGTGTTGCGAATGTGCCGAAACAGCATTAGCAACAGTCTTGTTATCCCAAGTGCCAACAGTCATAGTTGTCGTTGATGTACCAGACGTTGGTGTACTTATTGTTGTAGCTGCCTTAATGCTAGTGTTTATACGTGGCAACATTTGCAGTATATCTACATCAGGGTCTTTGATAAGCGCTAAGATGAGCATGTGCGCCTGTTTCGTGGCATCAGTAAGGCCCTTAATTGTAATGCTCCTTTCCGATTGATTTTTGCCCTGCTTCTCGACTTCAATATGGGCTCCAGTGGTGGCGCGTATGGCATTAATGTTACTGCCAGCGCGTCCAATTACTCGCGATATGGCGTTGACAGGCACCTGTACCTTTTTACAGGTCATTTCAGGGGCGGCTGGCAACGATGAAGAGCTGTTGCTCGATGTGACAGCGTTGTTGGTGCTACAATTATTGTTGTTACAAGTATTGACGTTGCTTACACTGGTGGAAGAATTGCTTGGAGCCATGTTTGAGCTGAGAGCATTAGGGTTGGCGCCGCTTTGGCTTGATGCCATAGCACCAGTGACTGCCGTTTGTTGTGTGGAGCTCTTACGCACTACCTCCTTCCAACCATCGACTTCGCAACGCTTGCCAACTGCCGGTGCACTGTTACTGCTCTTAGGATCTTCATGCTTCTGCAGCGTGGATGAGTGAGATGGGGCCTTTCGCTGGCTGCTAGAGGAAATGTTGGTGGCGGACTCACTGCTTATTAACTTGTCCTTGATAGCAGGGTTAGTAGTTAACTGGTGCTGCTTGAACGGTACTGATAAGGACTCTTTGGGCGCTAGGTTCTCCTTTTCCCGCTTGTTTGCCGTTTCTTTTTTTCTGTTTGTCTGGTCTTCCTTCTTGATTTGCGCACGTAAATGCACTTGCTGGCTGGTTGTTTTTACACCCTCGATTGTTGGGGTCTTTTTCGCTGGTACCGTACTTTTACAAGCCATTGCGGTTGCAGATGTAGTTGCCTGTACCTTTGGCAATTTCTCAGTTGCTGTGTCACTTGACGATGCTGGTGGTTGAGGGTTCGCCTGCGCTTTATTTTTTTGCTTTTTAGATTTCTTTGTCTGGCTCATATTATTGTTATTGCTTTCCCCCTGTGCGACATTACCGCGTGCAGCCTTTGTATCACCACTAGAACAGGAGCCTTGATCAATACCAGAGTCACCTTCTTCGCGTGGCGGTGGAACCTCTTCGTCTTCCTCGTCTTTATCGCTGTCGTCATCCTTATCGCTATCGCAGTCATCTTCGGCATTCATATCATCGCCCAAGACGCTGCCATTACTGGCCTGTTGCTGACGTCGCTTTTCTTCCTTCTTCTCCATTTTCTTCTTTTTCTTTCGCTCTCGGCGTCTTGCTGCTGCGGCTTTACGACTTTCCTCGCGAGTACGCTCTAGATCGAGCTCCTCAAGCAGTATGGACGCGTTTTTGTTGGCTTTTACAGCCTGCGCCTCTTTGGCGGAGCGTAGAATCTTCATGCAATCGTAGCACTTTTCGATCAGCTCCTTATCACTTATTGTACCAATGAAACGAATCATCTCCTGATCTGAAGGGAATTGTGACACATACTGCACCATCCATTTAACAATCTTGGTGTGACCTTTGCGGAAAGCGGCCATGAGACAAGATACCCGTCGATTATCCTGCGAATCAATGTCCGCATTGTGATTATATAGCAACTCCACCACACTTAGATGGCCCCCGTGGGCAGCCAGCCACAGCGGAGAGTTGCCTTTCTTGTTCTTAACCTCTACAGAGGCACCTCTTGAGAGCAGAAGCTCTACGAACTTTTGATGCCCCTTGTCGGCTGCAATGGTCAGCGCAGTGTCGCGCGAAGTGGGTACGGGTGCGGCATTTACATCCGCGCCCTTGTCGAGTAACACGCGCCCCACTTCAATATAACCACCAGAAGCAGCCTCCATAAGCGGCGTCAAGCCCGTCTTTGCACGATGCTCCACATTGGCACGACGATCTAGAAGCAGGCTTACTACCTCATGTCGTCCTTGGAAGCAAGCAAGGGTCAACGCCGTATTGCGATTTGTCTCAATTTGTGCATTTATGTCCGATCCTTGATCAAGCAACAATTTTACAGCCGCTGTATGGCCGTTCATGGCAGCTAGCATAAGGGGCGAGATGCCCAGTTTGCTACCGGTGCGTGAATTAATCTCAGCCCCATGACTGAGTAGCAGCTTAATAATGTTTACATAACCGCCACTGGCGGCCAAGCTAAGGGGTGTATAGTCGGACACATTGCGATGCTCCTTGTTTGCGCCTTTGCTTAACAAGAGTTCCACAACCTCGTAACGCCCACCAGAGCAGGCAAGCGATAGAGGCGTATCTTTGGTGCGTTCTGACTGCGCCTCCAGCTCTGCGTTGTGCTTAAGCAATATGTCGACGACCTTTTCGTGGCCAGCGGTCGCGGCCAATATAAGTGGAGTAAATCCCTTCTTGTCCCGATGTTCAATCCTCGCGTGTCGCATAATGAGCAACTCCACCAACTCCTCGTGCCCACCGGCGCAGGCCAATGTAAGTGCCGTATCATGATTTGATTCCGTCTCTGAATCAATTTCTATGGTTTTCTCCAGGCCAGCTGCGGCACCAGTCAATTGATTCTGCAGTTGTGGTTGCTGTTGCGGTAGTGGTTGCTGATGCTGATTGGTATTCACTACAAGGACAGGTAAAAACTGAGTATTAAAGCAATTTTTCAGTGTTTTCTGCGTACCTTGACTTCCAGCCGGTGTTTGTCTGAATCCGGAGCAGCGTCTATCCTTTCGCGATTGTTTGTCAATAGCTTTCTTAGCAATACCACCGGGCATGGATTTGGAGCTGACTCCTCCTCCTGTTGGTACAGATGCCGCCATGGGCCAAATGGATAACTCATTTGGTTGTTGATGTTGTTGTTGTTGATGCTGTTGCTGTTGTTGCTGCAATGCAAACTGCGCATATTGTGCCGTTGCATGCGGCACAACGACCGATGGGTGCGTCTGTGTGCCAACCTGCACCTGCTGTAAACAGAACATGCATTTCAATAAAAGCAAAAAGAAAAAACAATCAATGATATAATTCTACCTGAGTATGCTGCATACATGTTTGCGTCTGTAAGTGAGGTGGTGGATGCAATAACAGTTGTTCCTGCAAGTTAAAATGTTTCTGTTTCAGGGCCTGACTCATAGGTCCCTGATTGCCACCAGCCTGGCGTTGCAGGAGTAGCTCCTGAGCGACCTGCTCCAGCTCGGTTTGTTGCTGTTGCTGAAGTAGTCGTTCGGCATCGCGCAGCGTTGGCGAGCGATGTTGATATAGCTGCTGTTTTTGTTGTTCCTGCAGCTGTTGCTCTGCATGTTGTAGCTGCAATTGCTGGGTATCTGAGGGCTGATGGTCGCCTGGTTGTGGTTGTTGTGTTAGTGCTGGTGGAAGCTGGAAAAGCAATTGCACAGGTGGAGTTGATTTATCACTGCCCTCCACATTATAGACGAAGTTTGCAGACGGTGGCAGTGTTGGATGCAGTTGCTGTTGTTGTTGCTGATGCGCGGCAACAGCAGCGGCCGCATCTTCTGGTGAAAAGGGCAAAAGCGAAACTGTTGTTGGCTGATGATATAGGTGAAGAGAACAAGAGGTATTCCATATTTAAACTCTTTGTTTTTAAGAAAATTTTAATTAAATTGTATGCAAAAATGCACCACTATCCGGTGTAAAATTGTTAGAGCTAAGAGTAATACGAATACCGAGTTGGTGATAGCAGAGCGTAATCCTTACGTTCACATGGACTATCAGACAAACTCATATAAAAGGAAAGGGACTTAACGGATATTACTTTTCAGACTAGGAGGGATATCGTAGCGAAATATAAATGCATTTTAACCACCGCATTTTATAGGATAACGCCAAATTCTAAATATAAGGACACAAATACCAAGAGTAAGGGTAAACTAGGTTAATACGAATGATAGATTAGAAGGAAGCGTGGTGAACCCGGTTTTTAAGACATTGGAGCGTACTACTAAAATGTGTTTTCATGATGCTGTACTGATTATTGCGAGATTATTGCGTAACTTGTATGAACTTACCTGCAGGTGCAGTTCGTCGGGATCGGCAAACCTCTGCTGCATGGGATAGTCTAGCAGGACTAAATTTGCTTGGCGCTGTGGATCTTGTTGCTGGGAATCGCTACTATTTAGCAACCCCTGTGTATGTGCTGCCGCCAGCATTTGTTCCTGACTACTCCACTTGGCCGGTGAATCTGTCCAGTTGCTTGCAAAGCGGCCTTTGCACATTTGATTGAGACTAAATTCCGCCAGCTCAGGATAGTTCAGATTGCTGGCCAGCTCCTGCGTCAAAATACATAATATGGAGTTAGAATCGATGCGCAGACTTTGGCTTCAACAAAACCAAACTCTGGACTAACCTGAAGAGTTGGTTCGTTAGCATTCGGAAGTACCTGGAATATATCCTCCATTTCAACCGCAATGTCATAATGACCGCCATCACCACCATCGGTGGCAAAACGCTCCAGCCCGGGGTAAAAGTCGCTACCAGAGCCTGCGCTCACAGAGGCTTCGTCATCTTTAGTATGATAATAATATTTACAACATATTAGGTTTCGTTTATAAATTTATTTAAAAAAAAAAAAGAACTTATACTATATAAATTCCGCTTACCGCATTGATGTTGGTGCTCGGTCTCCTGATGATGTTTAAGCGCAGCTTTAGCCTGCGCCGCTGCCGCCTGCGCTGCAGCAAGCTGCTGCTGTAACACACTTAGCGCAGCATTATTCGCTGCAGCTGCTTTTATGTTGCTAATCTGGGGCAGCACATGCACAAGCTCTGAGGTTCGTAAATCTTGCCTATAATCACATAGGCCCTGGGGTACAGTGCCACATTCTGGTTTAATTGCCACATTCGATAGGATGAGGTTCTCGAGCCGTGTAGTTGACAATTTCCGATTCTTAATTGATGGTAGTATTGCAGGATTATCGGCTACCGACTTGCAGCCGGCACTATCGACGCCGCCACCGTTGCTCTGATCGACCGAAACATTATCATTTACAAAGAGCTCATCATCGTAATCTTCTCCAGCATCATCTTCTTCGTCAACGTAATCGACATCGGCATCGTCTTCGTCATAGTTTGACTTTTCAATAGGACCGCTATTAGTGTCATCCTCCTCATCATCGTCTTCCTCGTCGCAAAATGCTTCGGTCAACTCAATGGGTTCGGGTGGCAATGTGTTTTCCTCGCCGTCAGCATCGGGATCGGCATTAACATCTGGCTCACCTTCACCATCTGCATTTCCCTCTTCATCCTCGCTTTCCGGATCAGTGCTGATTTCATCCTTGTGAGCAGCAACCACAGCTGCTGCAACTGCTGCAGCTGAGCACAAAGTGGCTAAGTTCTTCATTTCAGAACGCGGCTCCATATGCTCCATGATCGTTTCTTCCATTTCTGGGGGAGTTTCAGTAGGCGATTTGGGATGTTCGCCAAAAAAATTATGCACGCCCAACATCCAACCATCCTTAAGGAATTTCAACTGCGGCGCATTCATGCCCAGCGGAGCGGATGCGGGATTGAGTCCCAACTCGTTGCGCTCACGCGTTAATGACTCATTTACAGCAGTCTCGAGAAAGCCACGAAAATCAGCCATTTGAGTCTTATGCGATTCTGCTTCGCCAACTTCTAGGGGGGGCAGATGAAGTTGCTGTTGCTGCTCCACTGCTTGTGGAGCTGTGCCTGTAGGCGACGCAAGCGGAGAAGCTGGCGAATTCGAGAATGCCATCGGTATAGTGCTGGCTGTGGTTGCATTTTCAAGTTGGGTTCGCTGATTCTGATGTTGCTGCAGTTGCAATTGTAGCTGCTGATGCTGCATTTGTTGGTGCAGCTGCAGCTCCTGTTGCTGCTGCAATTGCTGCATTTGAATAAAGCAAGAACAATTTATCAAAACTATATGTAAAAATTCGGTTTAGTTCTCCCTGCTAGTGTTATAACTAGTTTACATAATTTGTTATTTATGTATTTCTTGTTTGTGTTTGTAATCATAAGAGACTAACAAATATCACTTACCAAATTATTGTAGATGGACACCATTTGCTTTTGCTGTAGCGGCAAAACGTTAGCATACTGCGCTCCTGTCTGCTTGCGATTGTTCTTGTTGCTTGCTTTTACTTTAGGGCGATCGCTTATAGCAGTGGTCTGGAGCACATCCGAGGAGTGGGTGATTGGGCTTGTGCTTATATTCGCATTAGCGCCGCCAGCGTTTTTCTGAAATACCATGTAGTCTTATTTATCATTCAAAATTATGGTGCTCAAAAAATTACCGCTAACAGTTGTGCGTTACACTCTGAAGAACCGCCAGACGCTGACAGTGTGCCATCCGTGCCTGTAACAGACAAAAGATTTTAATAGATTAAAAATAATGAAAAACGAAAGTGAAATTACACATGAAGCATGAATAATTGACAAACCTTTCATAGCAGCTGTAGCCTCAGACTCGTTTGCATCGAGTGGTTCAGCTGCACTGGTTTTCTTAACCTCTTGCAAAAAACCGATGCGACGTCGCACAAGGCGCGGATCCTCACTTACGCACATATACTGCTGTTGTAGTTCTTGCTGCTGATCTTCGCCCAGGGGCTGTGTCCGAACCTCACCAGCAAGTTGTTGCTGGTGGTGACGCGGCAGCTCAATATCATCCATGTCCAAATGCAATTGCCGATGTTTGCGACCTCCACAGCCCTTCATTTTCAAATGAGGTTGTAGCTGCTGCGGCTGTTGTACCTGCAACATGGATTGACTTACAGCATGCAACACAGGCGGAGCTGGTGGTGCTTTCTGTGGTGGCGTCAATGAATTGATGTGATCCATGTCCAAGTCAAAGTGCTTGCAAGGCAGCGATTGGTGCTGAGATCCACTGCTTTGTGGTCCAGGTGGCGGCAGTGTTGCTTGTGCTAGCCCTTGTTCAAATCCGGGCTGCAAATGGAACAGTCTCGACTTTGCGATCAGGCCCTCTTGCTGCTGGGCGCTCAGTGTGGTTAAATCGATTCCTCCCACGCCAGCCACATATTCTTCCGAACCTGCTTCGTTACTCGTAGCACCCGATGAAGATGCTCCCGTTGCCGTTAATTGCAGCTCGCCTGTATCAAGGAAATCTCCTGCACCAAGGGCCACAATATTGGCGCCATTACCAGTAAATTGTTGCTGATGGAACAACTGCTGATTAGATACTCGTGCCGCCTCGGACAACTCCTGGAGCCCCGGCGGTGCTGTCAGCTGTTGTTGTATCTTTGTCTGCGAATTTATCACCGGCGAAATATTCGGGTAGCGAAATAACAGCTCCACAACACGCGTATGTCCACCTTTAGAGGCCTCGATGAGCATGGTACTGTTGTCCTTAAGCTTGTGGAATGGATCGGCGTTATTTTTCAAAAGAAGCTCTACAACCGACTGATGACCACCGGCGCAGGCAAGGGAGAGAGGTGTATGATCGTTGCTGGTCGTCTGCTTATTGACATTGGCTCCCTTCTGTATGAGAAACTTCACGGTACACAAATGTCCGGCACGGCAGGCTTTCATCAGAGGTGTGCGACCGCCCTCAGACTCGTGTTCCAACTCGGCTCCATAGGAAAGAAGCACCTCAGCCGCATCAGTATGTCCATTTTCGCAGGCATGCGTTAATGCAGTGTCACCCGTCTGCGTCTCTGCATGCACATTGGCTTTATTTTGTAACAGAAAACGCACTAGATCCGTGTGACCTTCCTGTGATGCTTCCATTAACGGGGTGGACGCGCCCAGTTCTAGATTGGCGCCCTCTTTAATAAGAAAAGCAGCCACTTCACTAAAGCCGCCGCAACAAGCGAGGGTAAGCGCAGTTTCTTGAGTTTCCTCAGTAGTGGCGTTGATGTTTGCGCCCTTGCTGAGCAAAAGCGCTACCATTTCCTCATGCCCTTCGCGGGCCGCCTCCATTAAAGGTGTGTAACCCTCGTCGTTAACCTCCTCAATATTGGCGCCACGTTCAATAAGCAGCGTAGCCAACTCTACATGACCACCGCAAGCTGCGAGAGTAAGAGGAGACTCAAACGAGTCAGTCGGCATGTTAACCTGTGCTCCAGAGTCCAGAAGCAGGCGAGCTACTTCAACGTGTCCATCCATGGATGCCTCCATTAGTGCAGTGTGCATTTCATCTGTCTTATGTTCTTGATCCGCGCCAGCCTGCAACAGAAACCGCACCATGTCCAAATGCCCCTTATAGCAGGCCAACGTCAAGGCGCTCTCTTTGAATTCATTCGAATGGGTATTGATACCGGCACCATGTTCGAGCAATACCTAAAAAAAAAATATAATAAAAAAATTACTAATATGGCATCTACTCTAAAGGATTAGGACAAAAAAAAATGTATAGCACATCAGATAAGATCAAATATAATCACTGATGTGTGCTCTGCAATGATATCCCGAGTGCTAGATCAGTAACTCAACCATAACGCACAACGGGTATCAAAGCAGCTTGCACACTTACTCTCAAATCTCGGATTTTAATCACTTGATTACTTAATCTCTACAAGTCCCCTAAATTCTTAGGTAACATTATGTTAGTCAATACACTACCAAGTAATTAATTAATTACTAAACCTGATTTTATATGACAACCCACGCACCAAAAATAGTGCGAAATTTCATATTAATGTTAGAAGTTTCTCTGGATTCAAAACACGCTGCCATTATCATCACAGAAGCATGATATCGAAGTCAAAACTTGTCATATAATTTAATACATTATTTCTGAAGCTTCCACACAACCCATAAGAATTCAGGGGATAGAAATTTTGTAAATTAGACTTTTCACTAACCTTGGCAACCTCTACATGTCCAGCCGAAGCTGCTTCCATTAGCGGTGTATGCCCGTTTTCATTTTGTTCCTCAACATTTGCGCCATGTTTCAGCAGAACCTTTACCACATCAACATGTCCACCGGCGCATGCAAACATAAGGGGTGTATTTCCAGTTGCACAATGTGCGTTTACATCAGCATTGTGATTGAGCAGAAGCTTGACTATATCCAAATGACCAGCTGATGCGGCTTCCATAAGTGGTGTTGAGTCCTTTTGTCCTTTGTCCTCTACCTGAGCAGCAGACATGGCCAGCAAGACCTATGTCGTAAATTAAAACAAACACTTGTTAAATTACAGGACATTTATTATTGAAATAGGTGGGCATGGTAAGGCAAAAAACTGAACTAGATTTTTGGAAGGAACCTTCTTGACCTATTGAAATTGAAAATAATCCCTTAAAGTTCGTAAATGTAAATAACTTAACAAATATGTTTAGTTTAAAATTAACAAATAAACTATCCAAATAACAAATCAAATATTTGAGTATTAAACGGGGAGCGCGTTGTTTAGATATAATTTTAAATTTTGAGATTTCAATATTCAACTTTGTGACTGGATAACCAAAGAGCAATGAAAAACACAATTCAAACATTGAATTGAATTTAATCATTGAAGCTACACAAAGAAGATGATGCCGTAATGACCGCTCTTTTAAGTAACAAGACTGACTGGCGAGCATATTCAAACAATTTAGAAGACGCGTCATAATATGAGTAGGTGATTTTTAATCAATTGCATACCCCATCGACAAATTGAGTAATTTTCATACATACCTGTGCCAATTCATAGTATCCAGCCGAACAAGCCATTGACAGCAAAGACTCGCCATCATCCGTGGATGCAGAAGCATCGTTCAGATTGACATTGCCTTTGCAAAGCAACCGCTTCACCGTATTCACATCGTTGTCCGTACAGGCAGCGACAAGGGACCGTGAAAAACCACTACTGTAGCGATGGGAAGCATTAGTACACTGTACAAACTGACCAACCTTATGACCTTTTTTACAAACCTCTTATCACGCGGGCTATTGGCGCATCTCATTTTGGTCAACGCCTGCTTAGTTTCGTCAATAGCATGCGTGGCATGACGCAAAACAGGTGCCTTTGCATTCAGGGCGGAAATATTACTCGAACGTTCAAAATTACTGACTTCAGGTGCATCTTCATCTTCCTCATCGTCGATGTCCTCATCGTCGGCATCATTATCCTGCAGGATATCTGCAAGTACAGGCGTCATTGTGCATATGACACCAATATTTGCTTTCCCCAGTACTTACCTAGTTCTTCGTCATCCTCCTCATCATCGCCGTCGGATTCATCAGAATCTTCAGATTCTTCTTCCGTTTCGTCTTCGTCCTCCCGTGCTCCACCCTCGTGTGGACAACTATCTGGATCAGATTCTGGTATATCATCCTGGAAAAACCAAAGGCATATCAGATATATACATATATATATATATACATATATATATACTCTTAAAGGCAACATAGTTTTAAAAGGTTGTGCTAATTAGTTAGAAGGTAGTAAAAGCATTTTAAAATATACGACTGTAATTCACATGGTAACAATGCTAATATATTTCAGCTTTTAAGAGAGCACATTCTTGTTGTCTAAGGCCAGCAAAAGTTGTGTTTATTGTGTTGAGAGAATCCAAGTGGTAGTATTTAGTAGTATTGTTAAATACCATTATTTTGGTTACTGAAACTATGATTAAAGTACACACTACTAAAAATATTTCATTAAATAGACTACAAAACTCGTTAAACAATTGAAGAATTTAATTTTGCGCTAATTTTGAATAGTATTATATCGTTAAGCGCAATTGAAATTCTAGCAACGAAGTTTTATAGATCTTTTGAATTTTGTTATAGAAGCACGTACTTAAGCGCGAAACTTACCAGCAAATCTGGCCTTAAACACAAGAATGCCAATAGGATCTACAAATAAAGAAAAACGAAAGAAAGCATACATAAATAATAACAAAAGATAACTAAAGGAAAATGTTATTGGATTGAACCAAGCTGGTCAGGTCAGCGGGGCCAGCAACTATTAGATTTGGATTGCAACTGAAAGGTTTTGTTGATTACTTGGACAAAAGACTGCAACACAAAGTCCAAGGTAGTTCTCGTCCAACGTATGAGTTCGTTTATAAATGTACGTAGAACGCTCTCAATAGGCGGTAAATACACCATTATTAATTTGTTGTATTTAGTTGTGATGTCAAAAACAATTAGAACAAAAATTTTTTTTAGGAATTTAATTTGAAAAACTATCTTAACGAATGTGATAACAAGCACAAAGCGTACTCTGAGTTATTTAAAAACATAAAAAAAAAATAATATTAAATAATTAATACGATACATACTTTAAACTTGAGTGGAAAAACATAACCACCTATAAATAATCAAAACATCGCTCTTTAGAGCATGTTCATAATTTTTGGTGTTGCCAGATCGCACATGCAAAACAAATGACGCCAACGACGATGTCTATAACTTTGTACATATGTATGCTACATACATATATGTATGTATATACAAGGTATACAAAGAGATATCGGCGGCAGTCAAACATTATTGCCTTGTTCGCTTTTTGCTTTTTTTCAATCCCTTTCCCTCATTTTATATTTAATTCCAATACCAATACGAACGAAACGGGCCAGCCATGCATTGCATGTGTGCGTGAGTGCTGCGTAAGTTTGTGTTGTGTGATTGTTTCTTGTCGGTGCTTTTGTTTCAGAAAATTCTGTTTGCAAACGTACATTTTTTTGGAATTCAAAGAATTGCATGAGTCATTCAGACACTTCGCTTGTGCACAAGCCAAAAGATTCAATTTTAAAAGTCGTACACGCACACACACTCTATTTGTGTATTACGCCCACGCCTAATGGATTAAAGCCAAGTGCCGTACATACATATGTATGTATGTACATACATACATATGTACGTACTATATGTGTCCTAATATACGCAGTCTTATAGAATAATTATAAGACAGTTGCATGCTCTATATTCAAACTTTATTAAATAAAGAGAACCAAGACAGTGAAATCGTGCAGAAAAAGGAAAATTCAACATTATCATGAACAAGTTCTGCGGGAGAGATCCACGAGCAGATGCTCGTTGGTTTTCTCGTGTGTTCAACTGGTCGTGTTTGCTCGTAAATTCTCGTTACGGGCGTGTGTTGGTGTACATTATATGAATGTATGAAAATGTTTTACTTCATGTGTGAATGTATTAAACAATCTGTTTTGCGAAAAAGAAAAGCCGACGTGTATGCGTGAACTTTTTGAAACTTACCGAATTGGCAATTGGCTTAAGAAATATTTTAAATATTATTTTTGGAGTTCATTATACTCAAATTGCGGCAATCAATGATTATTCTTTACACACAATTTCACTCCAACAACAAAGACACGGCAATCAACGTGATGACGCCTGGCGTTGCCAGACTTTAAGGCTGAAGAGCGCGTCGCATTTTAAATTGGTAATGCACATTTGAGTGTGCCAAATTTATAACAAAAGTGAAACGACATAGCAATTAATTAAATAATGCTATGTGTGCACATATACACACAAATGCACAGAAAAATCTAGTAGAAGTAATCATATATGTATGTACAAACATATTTCCGTAAATTAATCTTATTAATGCTGCGTACCTCAGTACGTATATATATATATATATATATATATATATATATATATAAATAAATAAATACATACGTATATACATACGTAAGTACATAATACTGAAGTAGCGAAACATGCGCAAAAACATTAAAGTGGGGGTACTTGGGGTCAACTTTTGTGGTCAATTGAGTGAGCGCCAAGCGGGTTTATTTTTATGACAACATTAATAATTTAAATAAGCCGTAGTTAACATGTTAAAAAAAACAAGAGGCATAAATAGTGGTTAGAAAAGTTACTTTTCTGCTGAACTAACGATATTAAATATCTTGGGTATATTTATATTTTCCATTAAAAAAACATTGGTGAATGTTTAGAAGACCGGCAATTGAAACAGCTGTTCTCCGTCGACATACTGATAACAGTCGCGACGATAGCTAAAATAGTTTGGAAATGGCTATTTTACACTTTGTTTATTTACGGTTATCATTTGAAGTATAAACAAAATGTTATTGGAGTAAGCGAGTCGCAAAAGTATCCATTTCTTTTTGTTTATATATCGACATTTTGCCAAAGTGATTGATTTAAATTAGTATTTTCTATAAAATCTATATAAATCGATAATCAAATGAACAATTGGAGTTCTTTAAGTATATAGCACGCATTGGAAAAAGCACAAGGAAAGTAAACCTATATACATTTAGGTGAAATGCTACATTAAACTAATAGACTATAAAAGCACTTACCTCCGAGACGGACTCTTCTTCAGATTCTGAAAGGTCTGTGGTAGCGGGCTGTGGAGGATAAAAATCAGTGTCCGTATCCGTATCAGTGGCAATTATGTTCTGCAGTGCTGTTGATATAGCGTGAACAATTCCCACAGAGGAGGAGAGTGACGAGGAGTTCGATGATGTTGAAGAGGATGCAGAGCGATTGGCGGCTGCATTTGATGCGGCGGCATCTTTGAGTTTCTGCTTAAGCACCGCCGCTGCGGATGCAACAGCTGCTGCCTGCACCTGCGCTTGTGAGCTGGAGGATGAGGCACCAACAGCAGCGCCCGCGTAGCCATCGGCAGCAGCACCCATAAGCAAAGTAGTGGCTGCGAATTTTAAACTCGCGGAATCCTTGTGGCTGCTTATTGAAGAAGCGGAAGGCGACGAGCCTGTTACAGAGGTGGCCGTTTGCTGCTGCTGTTGTTGCATGGCTACTTGGCGCTTTAAGGCTGCATAAGCTGCTCGAGTTTTCTTCGTGTTCCCGGACGATGGCGCCGATGCAACAGCTGCTCTAAGTTTGGCTGCAGACCCGGCGGTTGACGCAGGATTAGCTATAACGGCACTGCTGCCAGCATTTGGGCAGCCCCCCGACGAAGCGGACGCATTGGTCGTTATCGGGGTAGTTGTCGTTTCCGTCGTCAAAGGTGGCGCTGTATACGAAACGGGTATGGGCGTGGGTGTAGTAGTAGTGCCGGCCGTAACAAAGGCAGCAGTTGCAGCCGCCGCTGCAGCTGAAACCGCTTCGCTGTTAGCTGTTTTGTTTGCGGCCGTTTTGGACATTTTAATGTTGTTGTTGGTGGCTGTGCTGCGGTTTATGTTATTTTTGTTGTTGGTTGTATTGGCAGTGGCGTTGGTATTGTTGTTGACCTTAAGCCTCGCGTTGCTGTTACTGATGCTCGTCGTCTTCTTAAGCTGACTAAGCTCGGCTACAATCGCAGCTGCTGCGTTCTCAACAGTGAGCGGCGGCGCAACGGCAAAAGTAGAACTTGATGAAAAGTCAATAGCGTTGCCAGTGTTACTACTTGCCGATGTTGTGGGAGGATTCACTGAAGACGCTGGCGTTGTTGTAATCAAATCCTGCGTAAAATCAACAGCAGCTGCATGCTTAGCAACACGCTTCTCGCGCTGAGCGTTTTTTAAATCCTGCGCGAGCAATGCTACTGCAATTGAATGTTTTGCTGCTGCTATGCGAGGGCCAGTGTAATTGTATGCTCTACTAACAGCAGAAGCCGATGATTTTTTACTACTGCTGTTGGGGTTATTGTTATTGCCTTTAACAGCTTGTTTTGCCTTTGTTGCAACTCTTTGTGCTTGATTATTTGAAGTTGCAGTTGCTGAGAACGATGACGTTGATGTTATAGTTGCTGTACCCGTTGTTGTTGCTGTATTCACGGCAGCTTTATTACTCACTGCTGGTATGGTAGTTGTTGGGGTTTTCGAATTTTTGGAAAAATATGCAGAGCGCACATTCAAGTCATTGCATTCAATATCTTTCGCATCATTATTCATTTTACACTTGATTAAATACTTTTTTTATTTGAACTCGCGCGTCCTTTAAGTGTGATGAGAATTTAATTTTAGAAAAATTATGAAAGGAAATTTAAATAAATTTGACATAGCTATGTTTAGTACAATTTTTCAAATGTTGTAAACGGCAACAAAACATACATATGTAAGTACGTACATATCTTCATACATGCATACAAATAATTCACATACATATACATAATTATGTATATACATGTAAATACATACAAATGCATTGCGTAGTAGGTCTTCAACCAAAAATTATTTACTACCGCATTCGATTCTAAGAAAAACACATTAAATGCACACATATCTACATGGCCGTTGATGTACGGTATTGTAGGCAAATAATTTCAAGTGCACTTTTATCGATTTTAATTTTTGTAAGGAATTAGATTATATACATATGTATATAGGCGGTGCTACTGCTACACACGCCTTAAGAGTTTGACCAAGTACGGATACGAAGCAGCACCGCACACACATTGACCGCTGCAGGGCACACACACACAAAAGCACAACGCAGCTACGACTGGGTGGCAACGCCGTTTGTTTCTACTTCACCATTGCACACTCATTCGTATTAATTTTCCGTTCTTCGGCAATTCACATTTCGTATTATTTTTACTTCATATTTAAAAAAATATATTTACACAGCAAAAAAGCATTTCTTGATTGGATTAAAAAAGTACAAGCGTTTACTTTGCACTTTCAGGAACACACGATACGCAATTACGACTTTTGAAGGCATGAAGCGTGCTTATGATTTATATAACAACCAAACGGCTAATACAACATTACTTAGCTGTCGATGCATTTTAGCTATTGCGAATTTTTTATAATGAATTGTGGCATTTTAAATATAAAACTTTTTCGAGCAGTTTCGACTTCGCCCGACCGAGCACAAAAAATCACTTTACATTTTACACCATTCGACTGTCGCGAAGAAGCGAGATAACCGATTGCCTTTCCGTCAGCCCAGTTTCGATTTCTGTGTACACAAAAGAGAGCACGCTATCGACCAGGCCAAACACACACGCCAAAATTAAAAAGGCAAGCAGGCAAGGTAGACAACCAATAAAGCAATTGAGAAAATTTTTTTCGCTGCAAATTTTTACCAATTCCGTGTAGCGTTTACACGCAAAAATGTGCAATTGTGATGACACACAAATTAAACTGCACTTTTTTAATACTTTCACGCATTACCGATTTAAATTAATAGAAATTACATTAAGTTTTCAGCAACGATAGCGAATTGTCGCTTGTAGCACGTTTTATCATCATTCAGTGGACCTTTACGTCTACGGATGCATGGAACGTTGGTATTTGTGCCTGGTTGCATTTGCTGGTATTATCGACTGTGCAACCCTTGGCGCGTGTTTTTTAATAAACAATATACATACATACATATTTATGAAATAAAAATATTCAATTGCTTTATTTGCCTTTTGTGCATGGTACTATTTCGCTTCACCAAAATTTACAAAAGTAATAAAATGTGGTCATTAATACGTAAATGCTTACATAAATATGTGCATATTTACATGTGTACATACGTATTCATTTATGTATGTACGAGCAATGATATATCCAGTTTGCTTCAATGGGAGCGTTACATGCATACATATGTACATATATACAAGTATGTATGTATATATTTAAGCTTATACTAGAGCTGTGCGTGATCTTGGAAGGCTAAAAATCCCGTGAATTTTTTTATGTGACTTTCAAATTAGCGTGAAATTTGTATAAGGAGAGATTTATTTAAGATTTCGTGAAATTTCATGACACACGTACATATGCTATAGTTTTGCTATCTAAACCGAATTTGACATAAGAAAGTCATACTTATAAGAAAGATTTGGTAGAACTACACATTTGTAAAATACATACATACATACATACATATAAACTACGATCCAGCCGGTTCTTATATATGTATGTATGTATATACATACATAGACCCTCATGGGCATATTGTGGTACATGGTACATATGTATCTGATTTTAAGCATCACCGATGTAAATATAAAATAAGCATAAAAGTAACAAAAAAAAAATTATTAAGTTCTTCGAACACAAAATTTAAAAAATGTGAGTTGTAGTTCTGATTTCGCCACTAGGGCTTTTACATCGCTATGGTACGACCATCAATAAAACATGACTACAAAAAGTGACCGTCATTTTCAGTGTGAGTTGGAACTTTACATTATAATTGGTCACACTCTCTCACACTTTATATTTATTTTATATTTAAACTATGTCTTGTGTTTTAGTTACGATGAACCCCTTTTAATTTGTACGTAATAGTGATGGGCAACTTTTCAAAAATGATGTCGATAACACGTATTTCATTAGTTTTCTCAGGGATGCCAACATGACGGTAACATGAGTGTACTCAATTAAATTTGGTTAATTCCAAAAAAATATGTGAAGAAGTTCCCTTAATTTGATCAAAGACAACCAGATTTGCCGGGAAAAAGACCTAAGTAACATTCCTGCTATGCATACACTTAACTAATGGAAGAAAAAATATTTTTCAAATGGTATCGATAAAACGACCAATCGAATATATACGTATGTACTGGACTTTTAAAAACACCCCCGCACAGCGATCATATTTGCCTTAAAGACTGGCATCCGTTCTTGTATACACTTTTGAAATTTTTACGACTACGCTTTTCCCTTGGGCAGCGCCGGCTGGCTCATCGGAATTCTCCTTGGGTGTGTGGTTCCAACCCTATGCCCGCGTCTTTTCCTCGTACGGTAAAAATTTCATCTTATTACTATATTGGGTATTTTTCTTATCAAATTCTTCTTTCAGGACCGCTCCGCTGTCATCCTGGTGGGCACCTGTGTCGAGCGCGATTCGCCCACTTGCTCCGCACTCCGACGGCCGTTTCCCGTGCAATCGGGGCATGTTGGACTATAGGTGTCGGGCCTGCCACACCTATAACAGAAAACGCGCCTTTCCGGTGACATGCAGTCGTGGAAACTATGGCCGGCTTGTCTGCAGTTCCAGCAAACTAACGCCTGCTGCGGACGCCTTGCCAAGCGCGCCTCTTCAACTATGCCGAAATCCGACGACTGCTCGCCGTTAGTGTCGTCGACCAACTCCTCCACTGCCGGTGGACGGTTCCCGCCACTAAAACGTGTGCCGCTGCGTGTTGGGAACAAGCCTTCTCGCCGCTGGACCATAGCTTCCACCTCTACGCATTCGTCTCGTAAGTGGTCTACCGTGTACACGCGCATCGCATACACATACCGAGATAACTCTGTTTTCAATCCTTTTTTAATGTATTTCACCATCTCATTTTCAGATGGTGCTGTTTGGAGACGCGACGCCAGCTTCCTCATGGCATGGAAGTACTCCTCAACGCTTTCGCTTGCCTTCTGCCGCCTTTCGCGCAATTGACGCATGCGCTCGAATTCGTCGGCGGCGCCTTTAAAACGGGACAGCATGCTTCGCTTTAGTTCTGGCCAGCTGTCTACCCGGTGGTCCCTGACGTACTGCCAGTACCACTCGCGAGTGTGCCCAGTTACTAACAGATGGAAACTGTTCAATACTTCGGACCATGCGCAGTGACACTGCCTCTGAAGGAACTCCACCTGGAAAACGAAGTCTTCTACCGCCATTTTCTCCTTGTCGCCGCTGAAAACGATGTCCCACTTCTCAACGCGGCACCATCCTGACCTGCCATTCGCCGCTGCATACGGAGGAGGTGGGTCCAGCTGACCACTCCAATCGTTACGCCTGTTGCCTCTTCGACGGGCCGACTGTGCCGCGGTATTTTGCCAATTTCGAGCTGTGTTGCTGCTATTGCCAGCTCCACTGGAGGAATTAGCTGCCGCTGGCCTTGCTACCGGACGCGAAGCTCCTCTTGCTGGTGTTAGAGGTTCAGCCTGGTATTGATGCGGCCGTTTTGGAACCGCACCACGATTCTGGCTGACTGGCGGTTGCCATGCTCCATTTGCAGCTGAATCGCCGCTATTCGCTCGCGGTTGCAGTACTTCTTTCAGCGCGGCCATTAAGTCTTGAAACCCCATTCGGATTTCTTCCTGCAGAACCTTGTTGATGCCCTCTTTTTGCGATTGGCGGTATGTTTCGTTCGCCTGGGCCACTGCTGCTTCTACAGCCGACGCGACTGCTGACTCGGCGTCCCAGCGTACCGCCGGTGCTATGGACGGCCTCTGAGGAGTGTGCACAAGGCCATCGGTGGAAAAACCGACAGCTCCTTCAAGGTGTTCTTCCAGATCCTCATTTCTGGCTGTTCTCGACCTGGTGTTATACGCACGCGCAGAATCCTTCTCCATGTTAAATTTAAAATCACTCTGTTTTCTTTTATAATATTTATTTGTAATTTAGATTACAAATTTGTTCAGCTTTCAAGCAGGCCCCGAAGCAAAATTCGTATTAATTTGATAATTGTATATACATATGTATGTATAAAGAAAAACGGAAAGGTTTGCGAACGCCCAAACAAATCAGAAAATATGGATATGGGCAAGAAAATATATGTAATTGATATATGTAACGTCGATAAATAAATAAATACGCCAATAAGTAGATAATTAAGTAAATATAATCACAAACAACTGTAACCAAATGTACACCAAACTCTGCACTGAAACCAACAAAAAAAAACATATACGCTCAAACACAAGAAAAATGTAAACATAAGTACAAGTATATGCACCAAACGTAACCAAAACAACTTCATAAAATGTAAGCAATAAAAAAAACAAATTTTCTTTTAAACTTCTGTATATAGGGGCTGAGACTCACCCTCAGCCGGAACCCAAACACGGCTCCTATAATATCTATGCCTGTTACAGCTGCCCTACGCCACTATCCTGCAATACTTGTTGACTGCCTTTCATCGCCGTCAGGGCGATAAATGTAGCAGGCAACGAATAGTGCAGGATTGTGGCGTAGGGCAGCTGTAGAAGGCGTAGTAATTTTAGGAGCCGTGTTTGGGTTCCGGCTGAGTGTGAGTCTCAGCCTCTATATACAGATGTTTAGAGAAAAATGCCGTTTTTTTTTTGTTTACATTTTAATAAGTTGTTACGTTGCATGAATGGCTACATTTTCTTGGGTTTGAACGTTTTTTGTGTGTGCATTAACTCAAAGTTTTTTTTTTTCACATTTATTGCCGTATTTGTTCGCGTAATTATTTATTTATTATCTACGTATAGTTTTGCCCATATAATTTTCCATTTTTTTGTTATATATATAACACTATTTTTTGTTTGTTTTTGTTTTGAAGATTTGGTTGTTTATTATATGTATGTATGTAATTATCGAATTTTACATTTGATTTCGGAGGTCCCCCGGAGTCTGGAAAGGAATTCATAACCAAAAAAAATAAATAAATAAATATTAGAAAATTAAATAATTGTGGGGACGTTTTGCGGTGGAGCACGATCGTACGGCTACGCATCGAGGTGTCATACACCATCTCTCTAGTCCATCGTCTCCATTGGAGGTACGCGCCATGCACTCGCTTATTCCCACACATGGTCAGGATCTCGTCATCGCATCCTTGCGAAAGCTCAGTGTCCACCTGGTAGCGACCGGTAAGTACATCAATCAAGTTGACGATGCGAGAAGAAAACGCTGAATCCAAGGAAGATTCATCTAACACTGGCATCGACATAATAACGCGCACAGGCTAGCCACGACGATTCAGTTTTTGGGACATTTTCAAGCCATCTTCGGCGGCCAGTAGGGGCAGTGCACGTGGCGTAGGTGCGCCGTAGTCTCTGGTATATACGTGAATAGAAAGAAGTAAAGAATTGATGGGCGTAGAAAGGAGAGCGCAACTGGAGTTACTCACCAGAAGACTAAGAGTGGGTGTGGCCTACGTTGGGCGCCGCAAAGGAGTCACGCAAGACAACGCCGGGCTCGGAACGGAAAACGGGCTAACACCAGCCGTTGGATGCGCGCAAACATCGCTTCGGTGCGCGAGTGTCCGCCCACTTGGGTGTTTGCGGTGGTGTTACATAGGGCCGGTCGTGGCCAAAAGCTCGAATTGGCAGCAACGGATAAGGGCGCTAAACTTTAAATTCGCATGAGCGCCATCTAGCGGTACCGAGCGAGGAGCCGGGGTGGCAACTGCGGTCGCACAGGCGCAGAGTTGTGGTCCGATGGTACTCGAGAGAGAAGGAAACGAAAGGCTACAAGAAACGGATGAAAAGTGAAAAAGGAGGAAAAAATCCGAGGCACATGGCATCCGGCCTATAAAAGGGGAGTCGTAGCACGCGGGTTTTTTTTGGTTGGGAGCCGTCCGGTCAACGACGTAGTGGCAATTTGACCGAGAGGAAAAGGCGTCCGCTAGCGCGCCAAAGAGAACAGCACCAGCAGCCAAAGTCAACGCCAGCTGCACATCACCATCAACAGCGGTAGCAGCGCACCATTGGCAGCATCAGCACCATCATCAGCGGCTGCCACCATAAACGACAGCAGCGGCCACTATCAGCAATAGCGCGGCCCGAAGCTCCCACGGCAGATCCAGCAACAGCGGTAAATCCAGCAGCATGGGAGCAGACAACGGCCGCCAGAAACGGCCGCACCGACAGCACCAGCAACGCCAGTAGCAGCGCTAATACCAGCAACAACAACGTCAGTCTGCGCCATCAGCAGCGGAGGAAGTTTCAGCGGTGAGGCCGTTCCTTGGCCACGCGCCGGTTACCTTTTTTTTGAGCTGCAACTGCCAGGCAGTCGTCCTACGAGTCGTTTTATTTGTTTTATTACCTGATTGTGCCGCATTCGCCCGCAGCCATATTGGCGCGGCTGGCACGAATAAGGTTGGGCCAGTTTGGGCCTATCCTCTTAGCCTCATCGCAGCTGAGTCGCTGAGTTCGCTACCCCAATCTTGCAGGGATTGAAGAGACAGGAATTTGGCATGAAGTGGTTGCACTCACAATGTGTAAGAGCTAAGCTGATTGATCGTGGCTGTAAGTTCTTAATGACTGATTACACTGCATTTGATAGCTCCATTCCTTCATGGTTGATTCGCGATTGTTTTAGAATCTTACGCAATATGTTTGATTTTTCCGCGAACCCTGACTACTATACAAACGTGTTTAAAAGGCTGGAGAGTTATTTTATCAATACCCCAGTACGAAATTCTGATGGCCGCAGGATCCTGACTGACCATGGCATTCCATCAGGAAGCATGTTCACCAATATTATCGGAACAATGGTGAATTTTATAGTAACACGTTACGTCATTTGGCCCCTCACCAAATCTGATCCAATGTTTGATATTTTCTTCGGTGATGACGGTATTATTTGTTTGAGAGGTTCAAGTATTATTAATATGAATGATATAAAAGATGCAGTCGATCTGCTATTTGGAATGACAATAAACGAGAAAAAGAGTTATTGGACAACAACCCTCACAAATATACATTTCCTGGGCTATTAAAATAATAGAGGAACACCTTATAAGCCTTCAGAAGAATTGTTTGCCTCTATGCTCTACCCTCAGTATAATCAGGATGACTGGGCTTATACTATGTCAAGGGCGCTTGGCTGTTTAAACGCATCTGCAGGCAACAATTACGACGTGTACATGGCTGTACTTAGCGTCTACACGATGGCGCAGTTCCATGATTGAAAGTTGGAACAGGGCATGCAGTTGATTAAGAACCACCCTAGAATTGTTCGCCATTTTACCACGATGGGAATCGATCCCCGTGAGATATCGTACAATAGTATTTGGGATTACAGGAAAACCGTTCCCAAGAGTGATTGCACGAAGTTATTGAAGCCGGTCTACTTGATTTAAGGCAATTACCACCCCTCAGAAGTCCTTGAGGGCGCCCCATAAAAGGAAAAGACGCGGGCATAGGGTTGGAACCACACACCCAAGGAGAATTCCGATTAGCCAGCCGGCGTTGTCCAAGGGAAAAGCGTAGTCGTAACAAAATATAATGCCATTTACATACATTTCCATTTAAAAATTACTCTAAGCCAAAATGTAGTATTGGCTAAAAGTAGTAGATCAAAAAACCGATTATGTTATTGTTTATTTTTAAATTAAATACAACTTTTAAAATGATATCTTACTGCGTATGCAATTCAACATCCCGAAAACAGCAAATTTGAGATTTGCAAGCTTAATATTAATGTATATTGACAAAACCATCTACATAAATTCATAGCTCCCATCGTCAAAATTTCGATTTCCAACCATTGGACCACCAGCACCCATTTGATTACCTATTTGGGGGCGATGAGTGCCGGCAGTAGTCTGATGTTGCAGGAGTTGTCGTAATCCCGGATTATTGTTTGATATCATGGGCCGCACCATTCGCTGCTGTTGCATGGCCGCCACATTAGGCGGTACTTGTAGTTGTTGTTGCAAATTTGGATTTGGTACCGGAACACCTCCAACGCTTACACCCATGGGCATACGTTGCTGCTGCATCATTGACATTTGTGGCTGCATTGGCATGCCGCTAGGGCCTGGGCCGCCACCACTACCACCCAATTGCATATTAAGTTGGCCATATTGATTATAGTGTTGCTGTTGCTGTTGTTGCTGCTGCTGCTGTGCATTGTCCTGTTGCATTTGTTGTTGTAACTGTTGTTGTTGCTGCTGCTGTTGCTGCATGCCTCCGTGCTGCTTTTGTTGAATAACCTTGCGTAATCGTTCAACAAACATGGTCTGATTATTAGGTATAAAGCCAAGGAATGCATTGCGGTCAGGCGTATACAGTAAAATGAGCACTTTTATGTCACAGGCTGGTGCGTTGGGCATTGCTGAGAAATGTACACAGCCTGCAAAACCGGAAGTCATCATTTTGGCGAGCGTGTCGTGTCCTTCACCGATCGTTGGACGAAAAACAACCATTTTTGAGTCTTTAAGGAACTGACCACCAATGTTGCCCACCAAATGTTTTGGCATTAGTTGCATAAGTAGTTTGGGTGGCCAGTTGTCAGCCTTTATTTCGGGCTCCCCATCCTTTATGTTTGTACACACCGTGCAATGGAGTGTGTGTGTAATTTTCTGTTGCTCATTCTTTGATTTTTCAGCCCATTCAAGCACTCCTGACCAGATCTTTTCGCGGAGTGAGGCTTGCTCTTGTTGCTGAGGTTGTTGCTGTTGTTGAGCCTGCTGCTGTTGTTGAGCCTGTTGCTGCTGTTGGGATGCGGTCTGTTGCTGTGGCGTCTGCTGCGTTCCAGACTGCTGTGTTTGTTGTTGCTGATTTGGAACTTGCCCTGCGCCAGATACTGCAGTTTGCATCATGTTTGCATTTGTATTAAGATTACCTTGCTGATGCTGCACTTGTTGTTGCTGTTGCACATGTTGTTGCTGTTGTGCTATCTGCTGTTGTAGCTGTTGATTGAATTGATGTTGATTTAACATTTGTAAGCGCTGTTGCTGCTGTGCTTGCTGCTGCTGCAGCAATGAATTAACAGGCTGGTTCGGAGGGGCATTGATTCGCGATATTAACGCAGAATTTGGATTCTGCTGTAGGGACATTCCTCCGGCTGGGCCTTGCATAAACGGTGGGCGCGGTTGGCCAGGTTGATTGGGATACATCCAGCGATTCTGCCCAGGTACAACGTTTTGCTGGAAGTTTGGATTTTGCATGGGATTTTGCATTTGATTTGGAACAAATTGATTTTGTTGTTGCTGCATTAGTTGCTGCTGTTGCTGAGTATTCATCAGCCCTGAAGTTGAACCGACAGCTCCAGATTGTTGTTGAGTTGCCGGCTGTTGCTGTATTCCAGTCTGTTGTTGCTGCGCCACCGAAGTGTCCATGTTCATACCTTGTCCTGGCTGCTGTTGCTGCTGTTGTTGAGGAGCAGTTTGCTGAATGGGACCTTGAACTGCCGTTTGTGTAGTAGCCGGTGCTCCCATGTGATGCTGCGCTGATGTTGTTGTCATGCTGTTAGGACTGGGTGCCCGCTCTTTTAAGCTGTAGCCTTTGAGCAAGACCAAATGCCGAATATTCTTAGTATAGTTCTTTGTCGTGATTGGTTGATCCCCGTCAGCCTTCATAAACAGTTTAAAAAGTATAGGCATTTTCCGGGGCGCAATAATAGATAGGTTGATCTTGCGCTCGTTAAAAAGCGTTGCCATTTGCTCACATGTCTTTCCCATATATTTCCATGAATCTGTGACGGGCATCTGATAAGGCGGGCTATTGCATATAAGTATGCAATGACGTTGGACGCTTGCCTGCTCCAGCATACTTCGGCTTCGTTGTTCGCTTATATCATCGAAGCACTCGTGAGCAGCGGCAAACCCTTCCGCCATATGAGCGCAAGATTCCATGCCTCCCCCGACGAGAGGTAAGCGTTCGATGACGTCCATGACCTTAACAATTGTTTTTAACAATTAAATATAAGCTGTAGCTATAAAATATTCACCTTTTGTGTTTGCGCGTATGGTCCGTATGTTGTGCAGAGCGGCTCCAAAAGGTTTGCAGCTGTGCGGTAAGTTACAATACCGTAAAGTGTGGAGTATCGCTCTGATATCAAATATTCACGCTCGTCCAAAAAATACGATCCTGAAAAGTGTTCCAATGTTGGAAGGATGTAATTGCTCTTTACTTCGCTTAGATAAGCGCCATTTATGGCACTCTTTTCAATAACGAAGACGATGTCAGCCACGTTTAGCTGGTCCACGTCCATGTTCTGTGTCTTTTCAAATAATAATAAGCAATTATTATTTATGGATGATGAAACCAATAACAATTTCGGCTGAAGATAGAGATGTAAAAAGGCGACGATACATCGAGCACCTCGATTCCCTAACACGATTTTTCGATTTCTTAAATGTTTACAATGTATCGATATTTTCCCAAAACATTGAGTATTTAAAATGCAGTAGTGTAAGGTAAGTTGTTAGATATTTTTAAATTGTTATTTGTGGTTCTCCTCCTAGTGATACAGATTCGGCTTTTACGGTGTAGAGCCACAGCTCCAAAATACAATTTTGCAGTGTGACTTCACAGCCTTCTGAAAGTGCTGTCAAAAAATTGTTAAATCGAAGTCAATTTCCAATTTGAATTTAAGAATTTCCCTTTTCTCTGCAGAATATATTTTGAGTATCTTTATCGTAAATATTAGTACTCTTTAGAATATTTAACAAAACAATTTCAGTACTATCCTCCGAAATTCCATTTAATTTGTATGTGTTATTAAGTAAGTATGCTGGTCATGCTCATGTGGAGAATGTGCGCAAATTGTGTAGACGAAGCTATTAACCTACTGTCTAATTTTTACAAACTTTTTTACAAACAAGGATCTTAGAAAGTATAAGAGTAAGAATTACCAAACGTGTTCTCCGGATTCCCCTAGAGAAACGCTAATGATTTACTCAAGTTTAACAATTGCATCCAGTTAGTGCTAAATTTTAAAGAAAGTTATAGCTATAAATGTAATCTCAAGAAAAATTATAATTTTAAAGGCCCAGAAGGCTAAAGTTAAAATACCGCAAATAAACCTATTATTTGGGCCGGTTGTATAGTAGAGTTTGAATTTTGATGATGTAGAGGGCCTGCATAGCGCCTATTACAGCGAATATTACAATTTTTGACAACCATAACATTTTTCCACCTCTGGTAAGAATTTATAAAAATTTTAAAGCGCCAATATAAAACATACAGCCAAGGTTATTAGATCATATTTAAAGCGCAAAAATGTAGAAATATATTAAAAATGTTTTTAGAAAGAAAGAATGGGACGCTTGTTATTTTAAACTAATTTATTACTGCGATAACGCTAATGAAAATGATTTGCGACACTTGTGCTTCTATTCAACTTGATTAAACAACTACATTTTAATTTCGGCTTTCATGCTAAGCTAAGCCTGAGCTGGCGAGCAAAGGTCGAAAGGCGACATCTGTAAAACAACCGCACTCGCGATCCCTTTTCGTCCTAAACTGAACCCCAAATATTTTCTATTAAATTATCTTAATCTACACAGCATACATATGCGCCAATAAATATGTTGGGAGATGGGTGACATTTCATCTATGGATCAGGACAACAATATCCGCCAACAAAATCCTATTCAAGCTTTTATATGGATTAGGTGCAGGGTATACAAGAGTTGGACTTGCTCCACTCTAGCTTTCGATTCTTGTTTTTTATAAACTTCGAGTGAAATATTGCTCTATACCGTCTGAACTCAAAACAATCCCTTCGGTGAAGCATTGTACTGTGCTAGGCGTTTTTTTTTAACAGTGTGCACAAAATGTTGTTAAGGTTTAAATATAGGCTTTAAGCTGGCCAATGCATTACTTGAAAATGTAAGCTACATAGCCAAAATGGAAAAATTACTTTATCACTGGGTAAGCACATTTGCCCATCAATTATACAATATTGCAATCAAACTTTTTCGTTTCACTGCCACATATTCGTTTCGTTTTAGATTATGTACTCAAAATTTGAAACTATGCTAAAAAGTTCTAGCTATATTTATTTTATTTTCTGCATATAAATAACAATAACGAATATAAATTAAAAATTGCAAATCGATTGAGGCATTTTTATAGTCGATAGTCGTGTCACAGTCACACAATCGAAATATTTTCCACTGTTGCCACTAAAGTAATAAAGGACCAATCACTCGTTTTTCAGTATGGCAGCCCTCCATATCTCTTCGCCTTGCTTGTCAAAACAAAATTAGAACAAAATTGTGTTGTTTGTTAATTAAATACCTAGAAACTGTCCAAATGCAAGACAGAATGTAAATTAAGCCTATTTGTGTCTCTCTGTGCGAGTGTTTTTGTATGTAAAATACAGATCTAGTACGTTTTAACAGCAAGAGTGGGGGCGCGTCAAAAGAAACGAGTAAAAGAAAAGATGATAAACTGCACATATCTTTAACTGAAAAGCAAGAAATACGCTTACTAAAAACATTGCAAACAATATCTTATGATGTTGCAGTATAAAAACACGACCAACGCCGTTGGTGTGACAAGCAACGCACAGTCGGTTACGCCCACCGCTGTTAAGACAGTCCAGACGTCGAACGCTTCTCCAACAGCTCCGCAAATCATAAACATCCATCAAATGCCGCAATTTGTGCAAGCGGCAGGTGGCGCTTCCGCCAACACCATGCCACATAACATGTTCCAGATTGTACAACCTATGCAGACCGTAAACATAGACGGACAGGAGGCAATCTTTATACCGAATTTAAATGCTCAACTTGCTACTGCTGCCCAACCGGTTAATATAAATGGACAACAGGCCTTCATTACGCCCAATGGGCAAATTGTTCGTGCTCCACAGTCAGCACCCCCTACAGCTCTACAATTGCAGCAGGCGACTTCCGCCCAGTTGATCAACGGACTAGGTCAAGCAGTGCAGCTACCAGGCTCTCACGACGCGCAGACGACTCTTTTTACTATACCTGGCACCAATATTCAAATACCATTGGCTAATGTGGCCAATATTGTGCAGCAGCAGCAACATCAGCAACAGCCCCAATCGCAAACGATATCTATGCAGTCTCAAGCAAATACGCAGCAACAGGCACAGCAGTCCTCTACAACAACAACAACAACATCAGTTAGCAATGCTGGGCAGACTCAGACCGCAGTAACAGGTGGAACTGCATCGGTATCAACAGCCACACAGCAGCCAAGCACCTACACTATACCGGGCACCAACTTGCAAATACCAACATCGGTGGCAGCGGCAAATGGTTTGCTGGGAAATCTGTCAAATATATCGAATTTGTTAGGCGGCTCCTCACTTAAGCTGGAAAATGGTCAAACGCTTCAAAATATACAACTGCGTCCGTCACCCCAACTTGTACAGTTTCCGCAGCCGGCCCCTGCACCGGCACCACCAACTATGCAACAAACTGTGGCTGTGCAGATCCCTGTGCAAACTGCTGGTGGGCAAACGATCTACCAAACTGTTCATGTGCCTGTGCAGGCTGCAACTCCCAATTTAATGCAGGCGGCACAGTCCATGCCACTGCACACACAACTTGCCCAGACATCAGGGCAAATGCAAATTATACATCCTCAGTTTACTCAGATCGCACAAATAGTTACACCAAATGGTCAGATTCAGCAAGTGCAGCTTGCTCCGTTAAATGCACTTCCGTACCCCCAACTGCCGGCTAACGCAAACATAATCCACATACAGAATCATCCCCACCAGGCGCAGCAGCAGCACATTGTGCAACAACAGCAGCAACAGGCGCAACAACATCAGCAGTTGATCACTGCCATAAATGAGATTCCCACAAACCAGCCCATAACCATTACCAATGCCCAGGGACAGCAACTAACGGTAATTCCCGCCCAGCAAATGCAGCAATTGCGTGGTAATCCGCAACAGCTGATGCAGTTGCCAAACATCCAAGCGTTGCCCATACAAAATATTCCGGGGCTAGGACAAGTGCAAATCATACAGGCCAATCAGCTACCACCATCCAATCTGCCCGCTAATTTTTCACAGGTGATCACTCAACTCCCCATGTCACAAGCCCCAGTCGCGGGTGTTCCATCTACAAGCGCGGGTCAGCCAGCTTCCCAAATGTCCTCTAATCCTCCACCACCAACGCCCATTTCCGTCCTGCCAAAGCAGGAACCTCAGAGCCCAAACAATCAACTTATTACAAACATCAAACAAGAACCACCAGATTCAAGTGTGACAACGGCATCCGTTTCATTACCCACCGCCTCGCCCGTAAGCTCAAATTCACAGCAGCTTCAGACGCAACAGCAGCCTATTAAGTTTATTGTGCCTAACACGCAGCATCAGTTGCAAGCGCAGGTACAGCAGCAGCAGCAGCAGCAACTTGTGCCCACTATAGTGGGAGATGGCAGCACATCACTTTCCACGGTTACAATTCCGGCTTCAATACAGATTACAGCCTTACCATCCGGAGGCAACGTGTCCGCACCGTCAGTAGCACGGCTAACACCCAAGGTCGTCAACTCCATGAGCAGCAGCTCTAACAGCACTCAAATCAGCATAGCGCCCCCCGTTCAGAGTGGAGGTCAAATGGTGGCCACAGTGGTCACAGCGCCTACGAGATCCTCAACAACTATTCGTAGCTCTGTGGCGACTGCACCCATCGCACAAACAACCACATCCGTGAATGTCAATATCAATGTGAATGATAACTCTGGAGTGGGAGGCGCTGGAAGCGTTGGCCCAATGGAAATTAAGCCGCGATTAAAGCGAGTAGCCTGTACATGTCCAAATTGCACTGATGGCGAGAAACATTCCGATCGTAAGCGTCAGCACATTTGTCATATTCCAGGCTGCCAGAAGGTCTATGGAAAGACCTCACATTTGCGTGCCCACTTACGATGGCATACGGGGGAGCGCCCCTTTGTTTGCTCCTGGGTTTTTTGCGGAAAGCGCTTCACCCGCTCTGACGAACTGCAGCGCCATAGGCGCACGCACACCGGTGAAAAGAAGTTCCAGTGTCGCGAATGCAACAAAAAATTCATGCGCAGCGACCACTTGTCCAAGCACATCAAAACACACTTTAAGACGCGTTCCGGCGTGGAACTCATAGAGCTCAACATTAAACAAGAGCAGAAGCTGGCTAATGCGCCAAAGAGTATAAATACGATGAGCGGAATTGTAACCATTGAAATACCAGGAGCAACCGGAGCCGGTGGTGGTGCAGGTGGTGGTAGCGCAGCATCAAGCGTCGCAGCAACAGTTGCTGGATCAACTATGACGGCGGTGCCTGGTGGAGCTACTATTGTCCAGCTGCCTGCTGAAATAGGTGTTGGGGATCACGATTTGGGCGCCTCCACAGACAGTTTTGGCGAAGATGACGACATAGAGGATGACGAGGGAGAAACAGAAGAAGACGAGGATGAGCTGGATGATGATGACGAGGACAGCGGTGATGAAGAAAAAATGACTATTTCAGTGAGCGAATTTGGAGACAACTCGTCCAACTAGCATTCAGAGTCGCTGTTCATGGAACAGTTTATGTTTGATCACTTTCCATAGCCTTCCGCTCACAGAGGCGATAAGCTTAGCTAAAATTATTTACCCGGTCAGGCCTTAAAACATTTTGGCAAAAGATTCTGCAATTTGAATCTGACCTTCAAGTGAATGCTCTGAGTGTCTATTTAGTGTTCATCTGTACATATGTGTATGTATTTTTCAAGTGTATATAAATCTGGTGTAGAGTTTAGAGTACGATTTTAAAGTTTATTATAATTCGGCAGCAAGCATATAGTAATAAATGCGATTTTAACTAGATGTAAAGTTTATAAGCCATTTTTATACAAATCTCATGCGAACAATTACAAAAACAAAACATTTAAATTATAATTATTGGCACATTTGTGAATAAATAAACTTTTCAATTTTGATGTTCAATATAGGAGGCTTTTTATTTTACAAAAAATTGCCCTGTGTGTCATCGTTCTCCATCGAAAGTGGCGGGCTGACCAAGGCATTTGGTAAGGGAAGAGACTGAGTCGACGTAGCTGGAATTTGTGAATTGAACATTTCATAATCCTGGGAATAAGTTCCGTCCGTCAGCTTTTGCGACTCCGTCTGCGTTTGGGTGTATAGAGTCAAGGAGTCAGAGTTCATATTAATTAGAAATTCTCCAAATTTAGGCTCTGCGGTCAACTGCGGTTCAACTCTAAGCTCAGGCGGAATCTGGGTATAGTTCCCTTGCTGAAATTCCTGCTCATCGATTATTTGTTCCCTACCGCAGTCTAATGGCGTGGAATTTTTTCCCGCAGAGCATAATACGTCTCCAGTAAGATTATTGAGTTCTTCGTATCGCCAACGGTCCAGCCGAATGTTGTTGTCCCTTTTCAAATTACATCGACTTATATGGTTGTATTTGGCTACATCCTCATCAGTATATGGTATTACCATTCTGATTCGAACAGCTTTTGCTAGCATCTCATTGATAAAGCGCTCTGAACGATTAGATAGGCGTCCTAAAAAAGATTAGTTTGTTTCTTTGCCATAACTACCATATTTTTACATTTGCTTACCTTTTTTGGTCAGTCGTTTCTTTGCATCCCAAACACAATTGTACATGTTCATCCTTACACGACACTTGGTGCGCAGGCACAACTCCTTGACCTCGTCGTCTGTGTATTTCCGACTCAAATCCTCACTAGTTACTTGCTGCAATATACAAAAGTACACTTTATAACGGCTATGTGGCATAAGGTGTAGGAATTAGTTTCTGGGACCAACATATCGGTTCTAGCAACTATCTTACTGTGTACTTTATCTCTTGTAGCAAAAGCAAGCTATATTAAGTCAAAACGGTAAAAATTAGCGGTTCGTTTGAAAGTGTTGTTGCTACATATAAGCAAGACAGAAGATGTCTACCAATATTGGTGGAGCAAAATAGCACAGTATTGCACCAATTGATTGCGGTACAACTTGCAGAACAAGGAGTTTACAAATGTATTAAAAATAACTGAAAACCTTACATACATACATATGTACATATGTCTATACTTACAGAAGCTTTGTACAAATCAAACATCAATACTCTCTGCCAGTCTTCAAGGTTGGGATCGGAGATCAGACTTTTTACTTCAATTTCTTCCTCTGCTTGATACTCCAATAATGGCTTAGGCAAATTGCACGACATGTTACTGTTTGTTTTTTAACATACACAGAATCGCACAGGAACGCAAATTTATTAACACAAGATAGTGCGGAAAAATTCAAATAAAAAATATGTATGTTTACAAGAAAATAATTAATTTTTAAAAGAGACTTTGTGTATAATTAAATAATTATATCAGTTCCATAAATAAATGTCCTTAATATGAAACACATCATAAACATATAGACTACTGAAGCCTTCTTGGGATGGAGTTCGTGACTAGAAGTGACAAATCGAGAATTGAAAAGATGCAGTGCCTTATATCGATTGACTTTATTTATCGAGTGTGTCAGCTATCTGGCAGCATTATTATTTTACCTTTTGTTTTTATAACTAATTATAACTCAGGCAAACTTACAATGCTATAAGAAAACAGAATTGGTGGTTTAAAGAATAATTAAAAGAGATAAACAATAAAGTATAAAAAATTCAAGCCGCATTTCCTACATAGAAATTTAATGCGCTTTAATATAACAAAAAATAAATAAAACACGTTCACAGTGGCTAGTAACGCAAGTACAACAGCATTCTGTTATGTTAAGCATATACAACATACATATATTTTTAAGTAATATGCATGTGTAAGATGTATATATAAACATATCCATGTATATAATTACTCGTAAATAACAACTGCATGTACATATGTATGAAAATTTCGAACTAGTGGGCCATTTTCGAATTTGCTAAGCCATTTGCCATGTTGTATTAAAAAAATGTGTTGTACGCAGCTAATGCTGTGAAATGTCAATCAAAAATTTAACAAAATTATCAAATGTGAAGTGCATTTAAGACTTTCAATTCAACTTCTCTGGACAATAAGTGGCAACTCCAAGCCAGCATGTATACAAAAACAAGAATCAACGATGAAAACGAATCACGCAATAAATAAATGGGCAGCAAACGCAAAAAAAAGAAAAAGCGACCAAAACGAGGAGAATAAGTGATTTCGTCGCTTAATGAAAAAAAAAAAAACAATAATACAAAATTTTTCGTTTCGCGGATTTTATTAAAGAGCTATTTTAAAAAATTATATATCAACATACAACAGAAATAAACAACCAAAAACCCTTTGTATTCCAAAATTGTTAAGTAACTAATACGTTTGAGGACGCGTGAGTGAAGGCGGCAAGTAAAGATAAAAATAAGGAAACTGGCAAGCAGGTGAAGTGCCGGTCACACTTGAACAAAAGAATCAAGCGCAAGTTAGACATCAAGCAGCACTGCGAGCACAGAAGGATTAAGGATTGCCCCCCGCACTGTGGTAAAAACTCGATGCTAGACCTATACAGGTTTGCAAAAATTCGCCTCGCCCACGATAATGTGCTTAAAACCGCTTAATACGCCGAACCCTATTGTAACTGTTCCTTAGAAGTTTGTGAGAGTGTTAGTGTGTTTCTTGTGGATATTGTATGCAATGCGTGCGTATGTGTCTGAAATTTGCGCGCGCTTGTATATCCTTTGAAACATATTGCATTTAAAATCCTAATATTGCACACATGTATACCTACATATCTTTATGTTTTTCCGAATGCATTCTCTCTTGTTTACTAATCAAATACAAAATAATAACTGAACCACTTTATTAATATTTTGCAGAGACGCTTATCATCAGACGGTTATTATGAAAGGTTATGATTTGTTTCAACAGTCTATATAAAACACAATAAATAAAATGTTATTTTTGTTGCAAAGCGAGGTTTTGTCTCCTAACATGAGCCCTAACTTCCTAAATTCAAAAATAAATACAAAAAGCAACCAATAGCAAAAGCAGCTTTTACACGCTAGCCTAATACTTACCGTAAGAAGTCCACTAACACCTTTTCACGGCTCTCATTTTTCGCCCACAGGTAATCACTTCAAAATGTCTCGTAACAAAGACAAATATGATAGCACGAATCGAAGGCAGCAGATCTTTCTGTCACCCGAGGACATTGCAGCTGGCAAGAAGACAAACTGGAACGGGTTAGAGATTACAGGTCAGCTTCTGGAGATTTGCACTGTTCATAGGTTTGTTATTACGATTAAATCTTGTAGGTTGTGTGCGAAACATCAGTCCTTCATTGTGGGAGTTTGAACATCTAACCGCGCTTTATTTAAATGATAACCAACTGTTGCGGCTACCAGCGGATGTGGGCATGCTCGTTAATCTTCGAACTTTGGACCTATCCAGCAATAAACTGCGTAGTTTACCCGCTGAACTGGGCGAACTTATACAACTAAGGTAAGCATTATTGAATGATCGTCAGTTACTTTTTTAAAATTCTTATACTCTGTACATGAAATGTACAAGAGTATATTAGGTTTGCGCGAGCTGAAAAATGTAACAGGCAGAAGGAGGCGTGGCAGACCCCACAAAGTATATATATTCTTGATCAGCATGACAAGACGAGTCGATTTAGCCCTGTCTGTCTGTCTGTCCGTCCGTCCGTCCGTATGATCACCTAGATCTCAGAGACTATAAGAGCTAGAGATTTGATTTCGAACTAAAATTTTGCAAATACCCCCAGTTAGTTATTATGTGTCCGTATGCCAAGTTTCACTATGATAGACCGATTTAACAAGATGTTATATCCATAAATATATTTGCTGTTGCAGCGCTGCTCAAGCGCTGCCCGCGGCTGTTGTTGATGTTGCTGTTTAGTTGACTGCGAAAATGCTTACACAGACGCAAATAGACGCGCATAAACATACATACACTCACATAGACGCAATTTCTTTGTATATGTGCAATTATATACCCTTTACTTGAGTTCGAATACTGAGAAAGGTAAAATCGATCAAATTCTTTTAAATTTTCTTATTTTTTTTCTATAATTATTGTAAACATATGTACAGAGTATTTCAAAGTCGGGACACCCGACTTTAGCTTTTTTACTTGTTTATCTTTGGACTATGCTTCAGTCGATTGAAAGCTATACGTTTTTGCTTAAAAATTTAAAATTTTTATACCCTAAACACAAAGAGTAAATACTAATTTATTGCGAAGGTAAAAACCTCCCAGGTTTAGTACACCCCACAAAGTAAATTTCTTTTAGATCAGAGGCATGATGAGTCGATATATTCTTGTCCGTTTGTATGTGCGGAAGGATCTATAAAGGTGCAAAAGCTAAGCAATCCAAACTTAGTATTCTACTTCCCTAAGCTTTTTTGCATACCCTGCATTTAGGAAGTATATAGTATATTCTTGATCAGTAAGAGAGTACGAGTCGATATAGCCATGTCCGTCTGTGTGAGGGCATTTTAGGAAGCACAAAAGCTAGAATAACCAAACTTGGTATCCTCTCACTTAGATCAGTGCTCTCGTTATGTCTTTGATAGTGTCGCCAGTCAGACGCTCGATAATACCGTTCGCGAACGGGCCTACAAAAACAAAATATGTACACAAGACAAAATTTTAAATTGTTGAATTGCACCGAATTGCTATATAATTTTAGGAGCAAATAGATAGTAAAAAGGATTGTTATACTTTTCCGATCGTGTATCTTTAATCTTTAAAACTACTTTACAACTTCATGTTCAAATTATTTCCCAGTCTGACCATATTTTTATAGCCTGTACCCAAAGGGTAGAAGGCTATATTAGTTTTGTACGAATGTATGTAACACACAGAAGGAGGGTCTGCCACGCCTCCTCCATAAAGTGTATAGATTATTGATAGGGATGACAAGACGAGTCGATATAGGCAAGTCCGTCTGACCGTCCGTCTCTATGAGCGCAAGGATTTAAGAAGATTTAGAATTACCTAACTTGGTATCTAGGTTCCCTTAAGGCAGGTTATGTTTGGTTTTTTTATTCTGATACACCGCCCACTCCCCCGCAATTCGTGTTTTTTCCATAACTCCCATAATTTTTGGAATTTTCTACTCCATAGTGATTATGTGTTAGTATGTCAAGTTTCACTTAATAGGTCAAATATGAAGAAAGTTATACCCATAAATATAATCTCTGCACAAGCTCTGCCGGCAGCTGTTGTTATTGCTGCTTCTTCGACTTATTTCTTTACTGCATACAAGCACGCATAGACACGATTCTGATGTAAATGTGTGCTGTTAAAATTGTACATAAACACTTATGTGTGTTGAATATTTTATATTAAATTAAATTAATTAATTAAAAATTTTTAATTAATTAATTTTTGTGGGGTGGTGCTGGGTGTTTAAGAGTTGAGCTCGATCGACTTTAGCATTCCTTTCTTGGTGATTAAAACAATAGACTATATGCATAGTGCATATTTGTATCAAATCCACAACAACAACACCTGTGCCAAGCATATTAAATTACAATTATGGCTAGAATGACGATATAACACTTGATTTTGATCTTGTACTACAAAACAATGGATCAATTCGTTTTGTAATGCTGTAATGTTCTGCTGTTGGTTGTTACATTTTATTATACACCATTTATAATAACCTTTTAAACCTACGTCGAGGTAGCCCCGTATAATGCATGATTTGTCTGCATTTAAATGCTAGGGGAGGAAACCTTCTATTTAACACTAAAATATATTTTTTCTTAATGGCGCAACATATTCATTTTTTTATTATTATATATATTTGCAGAGAACTGCTCCTAAATAACAATTTTTTGCGAGTGTTGCCATATGAGATTGGCAAATTGTTTCACCTCGTTATTTTGGGTCTGATGGGCAACCCATTGCAAAAGGAGTTCATGAACATTTATAATGAGCCGAATGGCACGTCGAAACTACTTACACATATGCTGGATAACTTGTCATGTAAGTCTATATACAAATTTCAAGCGTATGTTATACGATTTTTTGAGAAAGGGAAGCGGACCTGGGCTAAAGCCTACAAAGAAAGTACATATATTGGCTGTATGAACAGTTGTTTAATGTCTATATTGCTATTTATTTTCTTTATATACCTGTGCCCAAAGGAAAAGGGTATACATACTAGATGTTAGGTCACACATAACAAAATATATATCTTCTTGTAAAGAGTCCGTTCTTCTAGATCTATAAGATCTAGAAAAACGAGTTTGGACGAGTTTGTGTTTTTCAATGCACCGCCACTCTATTAGTTATTATACTCTGTACATGAAATGTACAAGAGTATATTAGGCTTGCGGGAGCTGAAAAATGTAACAGGCAGAAGGAGGCGTGGCAGACCCCACAAAGTATATATATTCTTGATCAGCGTGACAAGACGAGTCGATCTAGCCCTGTCTGTCTGTCCGTCCGTATGAACACCTGGATCTCAGAGACTATAAGAGATAGAGACACCAAATTTTGCACAAAGATGCTTTATGTGTGTATTCTATACGAGTTTGTTTTATTTTATTGATTTTCCCCCCCACTTCCCCCCTATGGGGGTTTTCCCGATTTTCCATTCGTATAATCGCCTATATCTCGGACACTATAAGACCTAGGAACACCAAATTTTAGTCCAAGATGCCTTGTGTGAATACGCAGAAAATGTATATTTTGGAATTTCCCTCCCCCCTCTACCCCGCAAATCGTAACTCCCGTAATTCTCGGAGTTTCGAACTAAAATTTACAAATACCCTCAGTTAGTAGTGATGTGCCCGTATGCCAAGTTTCACTATGATAGACCGATTTACCAAGAAGTTATAGCCATAAATATATTTGCTGCTGCAGCGCTGCTCAAGCGCTGCACGCGGCTGTTGTTGATGTTGCTGTTTGGTTGACTGCGAAAATGCTTACACAGACACGAATAGATGCGCATAGGCATACATACACTCACACAGACGCAATTGCTATGTAAATGTGCAATTATACACCCTTTACGTGAGTTCGAATACCGAGAAAGGTAAAATCGATCATTGAATTTTTTTTTATTTTCTTAATTTTTTTTATTTTCTATAATTATTGTAAACATATGTACAGAGTATTTCAAAGTCGGGACACCCGACTTTAGCTTTTTTACTTGTTTTTCATAACACACATCCTGGAGCTTTTTTTTTATTTTATTTATTTTATTTAGAATATGAACAATAATGCTGTCGATTATATAATATAAGTTAATATAACAATTTAAACTAAACTTAAAAGATAAGAAAGCCTAACACAAAGCTGTACAATAACGTCTATTTATGCCTCCGACACGTTGGGGGAATTTTGTTTGCTAGGTGGCCAGCTATGCCCCGATTCACAGCCATATGTGGTCAGAGACATTATAGACCTAAAAAACTATACAAAAAGTTATTATTATAGTTTTGTACTAATGTATGTGACACACAGAAGGAGGCGTGGCTGACCCCACAAAGTATATACATATATTATTGATTAGAATGACAAGAGTAGTGGATATAGCTATATCCGCCTGTCTGTCCGTCAGGATGAACGCAAGGATCTCAGAAGTAGCAAGAGGTAGAATTAACAAAGTTGGTATCCAGGTTCCCCTAATCCCTAGGCAGATCAAGATCCCGCTATTAGTGATTTTCCATAACTTCCGTAATTCTTCGAATTTCGAAATGAAATTTGGTAGTCACATCCGGTTAGTGATTGTGTGCCCGTATGCCAAGTTTCATAATGATAGGTCAATAATACGCATAGATACGATTATTATGATGTAAATGTGTGCTGAAATTTCACATAAACTTTTATGTATGTATGTATGCATGTGTTGAATATTTTTATAGCCTGTACACAAAGGGTGAAAGGCTATACTAGTTTTGTGCGCATGTATGTAACACACAGAAGGAGGCGTGGCAGACCCCACAAAGTATATATATTCTTGATCAGGATGAGAAGACGAGTCGATATAGCCATATCCGTCTGACCGTCTGTCTGTATGAGCGCAAGGATCTCAGTAAGTAGAAGAGCTAGGATAACCAAAATTGGTATCAAGGTTCCTATAAGCCCTAGGCAGAACGAGTTTGTTTATTTTTTCTGATACATCCCCCCACTCCCCCGCAATTCGTATTTTTTCTTATAACTTCCGTAATTCTCGGAATTTTAAAATCAATTTTGGTAGGTATATCCAGTTAGTACTAATGTGTCCGTGTGCCAAATTTAATCATGATAGGTCAATTCTGAAGAAAGTTATAGCCATAAGTAAAATCGCTGCTCATGCGCTGCCTGCAGCTCTGTCGGCAGCGCTGCCCGCAGCTGTTGTTGTTGTTGCTGCTTTTGTTCAACTTTGTGCTGCATACATACATACATATAAACACGCATAGGTACGTGATCTAAATGTATGCTGTTTAAACTGAACATAAACATGTATTCTAATTTAATTAAATTAATTATTTTAATTAATTCATTCATTCATTTTTTTTAATAATTTAATTTTTTTAAAATTTTTTTTATTTTAATTTTTCCTTTTTGTGGAGAGTACAGGCTATTTTACTGTCGGGCTTGCTCGACTGTAGCGTTCTATCTTGTTTATATTTAATTTAATTCATTAATTAAACTTTTTTAATAATTTTTTTTTGGTGGTACAGGGATTTAAGAGTTGAGCCCAGATCTCAGAAACTATTAAAGGTGGAACAACCAATGTTGGTATCTAGATTCTCCTATTCTCCTAGTTATTAGTGAAACAATTTCACTCCGGTACTACGCCCACAACCTGCAGCATCAAGTTCGCTCTTCTTCTTCCTTTTGCTTCTGCTAGAGGCGCATGTACCTCAGTGTCGAAAGTTTACCTGGGTGCAGGGTATTTCACTGTCGGGCTTGCTCGACTGTAGCGTTCTCTCTTGTTTTTTCTTTGGATGGTACGTATGTACGTACGTACCATAAGGTGGACACTACCAACAATAGCACACAAACGTCGCCATGACCCTCAAAGCAGCACATCGAAGCTGGTACCCTAAAGTGGCCAATGGATCCGACAGAACTGCCAGACCCCGGGTCAGGCACCGGACAACCAGCCGCAGGATTTTGCGCAGGCAGTGAATGGAAATGGAAATGAAGCTCGCCAGCTTAGCTACTAAATTGCAACGCAAAACCTTCTTCTGCAATCCATCAACGGAGCGGGCCATGTATTGTGGTACTAGAGCACCAAGTTCCTTGGCAATGAAAGCTGTATACTTTGTGATAACTAAGGTCCCGACCTGTGAATTTAAAGCTGCTACCTCCCACCTAGTCTATCTATGGCGGAGTTCGCCTCAGTTCTAGACGCAATCGCAGACGACGCCAGAGGGCGTAGTCAAACTATTCTAACGGGGGACTTTAGCAAGTGGGCGGTAGAATGGGGCAGCAACGTCACTAAAGCATGAGGTCTAACATTGCTGAAAGTTGCTCAGGTCTGGATCTGACGCTATTGAACAGCGCAGTATACCCTTAGCAAGACAGATATCCATTCCAAAAGCGACTCCATTTAAACAAAAACTATGTGGTCTATTAGCGGCATTCCATCTTGTTTACAGGGTGCGCCATCTTTTATGTCGGTATGTAAATATTGAATAACTTTGTCATTAGTGAACCGATTGACTTGAGTAGATCAGTGTTGAAAACCTCAGTTCAAGAAATTGTACAGAATCAAATTAAATAAAAATATCTCATACTTGAAAGTCGGTTTTTTATTTTCAAAGATATTCAATGTTTGCATACCGGCATAAAAGTTGGCGCACCCTGTATTTCATTATTTGCGTTTAATTAAAACAAGAAAGGAAGCTACAATCGAGCAAGTCTGGCAGTTAAATACCCTGTAATCAAACATACTTCCGCCGCATAAGCAAAAGAAGAAGGACGAACCCGCTCTATGGGAGTAGTAGATTTCGATTGCATTTTAAAACAAGAAAGAACGCTATAGTCGAGCAAGCCCGACAGTGTAATACCCTGTACCCAGATAAACTTCCGTCACTGAGTTATATGCGCCCATAGCAGCAGCAAAAAGAGGAAGAAGAAGAGCGAACTTGTTCCTGCAGTTTGGGGGGTTGTACTAGCGAGAATTTGTTTTGATAATAACTTTTCTTAGAATTTACCGAATTGAATAAAATTCTCTAGCGGGGGAAGGGGGGGAAATTTAAAAAAAAAAAAACCCGCCCTTCTCGGACCTAGGAGAATATGGATACCAACTTTGGTTGTTCCAGCTTTTATATTTTCTGAGATCCTTGCGTTCATCCAGACGGACGGACATGTCTAAATCGATTTCTCTCGTCATGCTGATTCAGAATTTATATACTTTATGGGGTCGGAGATGCTTCCTTCTGCATGTTACATACTTTGCACAAACCTAATATACCCTTTTTACCCTACGGGTACAGGGTATAAAAATGTAGTCAATTATTTACAAATATCATATGCAAAGTTTAGTTAATGTAGCTTTGGAATTGTGCTAAATACTTTGCACAACTTAATACTATACTCCTTTTACAGGGTATTCAAATTATATTTCAACGAGAAGACGAGCAATAATCTCGGAAATTGTAAGAGTTAAAATAACCAAATTCTCATTTGGTCTGGGATGGGGCAAGTGTTTTTTACCGCAGTGCCCAAAGGGTTAAGTGTATACTAGTTTAGTTCGAATGTAGGATGTAACGCATAAAAGGACAGACCCCACAAAGTATATATATTCATGATTTGCAGGACAAGACGAGTCGATATAGCCATGCCCGTCTGTATGACCGGAGGGATCGAAGAAAGTATAAAAGCTAGAACAATCAATCTTTGTATCCAAATTCTCTTTGGTCCGCAGCAGTTTTTTTATAATATTTCCCGTAGTTCTTCGAATTTTTACTCAATTTCGATGCGTACACGCAGATAGTTAAGATTCATCATGATTTATGTCAATTGTTAATAAAGTTATAGTCATAAAAATAATCTCTGCCCAAGCTGTACCCACAGTTATTGATGTTCATGTTGCTTTGACTTAACTTTGTCCTGGACACATGCGCATGCACGGACAGGCATAGACATAATAGACACGTTTCCGATGTAAATGTGTGCTATCGAAACACAAATATACATATGTCTCAACTTATGTACATATGTTATTTTATTTATTATACCCTGTACCCGTAGGGTAAAAAGGGTATATTAGGTTTGTGCAAAGTATGTAACATGCAGAAGGAAGCATCTCCGACCCCATAAAGTATATATATTCTGAATCAGCATGACGAGAGAAATCGATCTAGACATGTCCGTCCGTTCGTCTGTCTGGAAGAACGCAAGGATCTTACAAACTATAAAAGCTGGAATAACCAAAGTTGGCATCCAGATTCTCCTAGGTCCGAGAAAGGACGAGTTTCTTTTATTTTTTGGGATTTTCCCCCCTTCCCCAACATTTTAAAAGCTACCTTAACCAAACTTTTCACACATAATAATCATCTACTTTTGTTTCAAATTTCATCTAAATCTGTTAATGCTACAAAAAGTTATTAGCGAAACAATTTCACTCCGGTACTACGCCCACAAGCAGCAACATAAAGTTCGCTCTTTTTCTTCCTCTTGCTTCTCCTAGAGGCGCATATATGTACCTCAGTGTCGGAAGTTTACCTGGGTACAGGGTATTACACTGTCGGGCTCGTTCGACTGTAGCGTTCTCTCTTGTTTAAAATTAATTTTAAAAATATGGAATTTTTTGTGGGAGTGGGTACAGTGTATTTAAAACTTGAGCCCGCTCAAATAGCATTCCTTTCTTGTTTAATACTATTTGTCATCTAGTTGTTCGAAAATACAATAATAATTTACCATTTTACGGACTTTTGTACATAAGAACGAACATATATCTACATCTGCTATATGTTTATATCTGTTACATCGTCTAAGTTGATTGGGATCGTCAATGAAAAGTAATAGCAAAAACCAGCAAAGAACTGCACGACCTCGACATGAAAAGCCGCCAACAGTGCTTGCCTTACTGGACATTATTTCAAAGAAGTGTGCGCAACTTGTTTGGGTCGGCAGTAACTTGTATGTGGAACGGATGTGGAACTCAAGAGCTCAGCAGAAAGAGAGAGAGAGCGAGCGAGTGGGCTAACATGCATAACGGCATGCAGTGTAAGCTCATTGTACTGTTAACCAACGAAGAAGGCAAAGCTTGCGCAGACAAAATAAAATTTAGCGCTGTCAGTCTACCGGACGCTTGGGTCTCAGGCGGACGCTATTTCAACAAAGCCCGAAAGTCTCGCACGAAACTGAAAATCGTGGCTGTGGCTTTGTCGTAACGTCGTCGCGTTGCGCCTGCGCCAAGTGTTTCGTAATTTGATGGCATTCGCTGTTTGGGGGCAATCGCAATCATCGTTGTGCTAGTTTCGTTTTGTGCGCGGCTCGCGAGCGTATTACTTAGACGCTCGCTTTTCATTTCGTACATATAGTTGCACATGCGCCTAATGGCCAAAATCCATTGAGTGTTGAAATTGATAGCAAAGTGATGTACGCGGCGTTCCAAAGCTGTCATAGACAAAAAACGAAGCATCCAAGAAAGCTAGCCAGCTAGCAAGCTAGCGAGAGCTAGTATCAGGAGTATGAGACCGAATATATCTGTTTACCGTGCACCTCCAGACAGAGAAGCTCCCTTTTCCCGGTACTTCGCGCAGCCATCTGTCCTTCAACCTTTATGGAGCAATGTGCCCCGTTCGCCACCAAATCTCGCAAATGTCTCGTGCTATCAGCTTCAACAGCCGCACCATTTGAATCCTAACGCAACACGTACTCACCAGCAGCCGCAGTCGATGCCGCAATTGAATGCACTTTACAACAATGTCCCGCCACCTCAAATTCATCATAGTACAGCCAATGGCCATTTTGCGCTGCCGCCACTGGTTAATCAGCAGCGCGTGAATGAGTGCGCTGGCATACCTCTTATATCGAATTCTTGCAGTCATCTAACGCCATCGCAGCGCCAGCGAATGTTGCGAAAGGCGACGCATTCGCCTAAGAACTGGACGCAAACTCCACCGCCTACGCCAAATTCAAAAATTTTGCAACTAGCTGTACATGCGCAGGGCATGCCGCTGCTCCAGACCCACAAACAGCGGCATCAGCAGACAGGTGCACACTGGAGCTATAATTCGACTGCAACGACTGCAAATTCCCATAAGCTGTCCGACAAGACTCGTGGGCTTCGCTACCAAAGCTCCAAGCTTCCAGTGCCACACAGTAAGGAGCAGCAAGCACCCGTCGAGCACCCTCCGGGAAACAGTAGTTCAGGACAGGATGTGTCACCAGCAGATACCTGTCTTCCACGCATCATTAAGCCGCGAAAGCGTCGAAAAAAGGATCGCAAGCCCATGGCTAGTGGTGTATTCCTTGAAATGGACGTGGAGGTGCAGCCAGCCACACCATCATCGGTATCTCTCCCAGTTTCATTTACGCGCAAGCCGTGCAGCTCGGCGGAAGAGTTGCTAGGTAGCCTTAAGGGCACGCCAAATACAAGTGCTTGCCACACGGTCCCAGTTCATCTATCGTCACCTTCAACTATGCTACCCTACACCCAACAACAACAGCTGCAGCTTCAACAACATCCTGTTTCGCAGCAACACGATGATACCCATGGCGTTTGCTTCTGTCGCGATTGCGATCCGCTGCGCTCTCTCTGGGACTATCCACTGCGGCGTTCCCTGTCGGACTCCAGCAGCGAACAGTGCAGCGGCTCCTCATCGACATCGTCGATGCACTCGTCGTCAGATACTTCTTGCGCCAGTTCTGTCTGCTCGCAGAGCATGCACAACAACAACAACAACAATTTTGATGAAACAGAGCATTTTGCGCCTATCACGGGAAGCAGCAGTCGCGCAAATATTGTTGGTGTAATTGGTTCTCAACGCAGTGGAAACAACAGCGCCAACTCTAATGACGTCACTGTTGCGCAAAAGTTGCCGTCTTCGCGAACGACGACGACGTCTAAGCCAGGAGAAGGGTCTAAAGAATTATGTTGCCTGAGCGAATCGAATGACTCCGTCTATGGTGATATTTTAAGCGGCATCAATATTGCCGACGATCTCTTTGGCAACAGCATCAATAGCAATACCAAACACAGCCCATTTGGAAGGGCCGAGCGACTGTTGAATGAAAGCATTAATGAGATTTCGCGCAAATTAATCGAGACTTGTGCCGTCAACGAAACCGCGCCATCCGGCCCCATTTTTGTTGCTGCTGTCGCCAATAGTTGTAGCAGTGACACTGGCATAGAGAGTGCGGGGAGCTACAAATGCGACGCGCTTGTGTTCAATTTTGATCATTTAAATCTGGCAGATACAAATTTTTCATTAACGCCGCCCACAGCCTTGGATATTCTATTAGATTGCAACAACAATAATGGCAACATCAAGGCAGTTGAGCAGCAACAATTCTATAACAATTGCTTTGACTTGGTATGGCGGCAACAGCGCGACGCTGACAGCAAAGATGCATCTGTCAAAGACGGTGGTAGCGGCAGCGACTCAAGTAATAACAATGCCACACCCACATCGCTGGGTCTGGGAACGGTTGAAAAATTAAAGCCAGCATTTTCCACTACCTCGTGATGACAGCGCCAGCTACAAGAAGTAATCACAAAAACAACAACACTAACAAGAAAAACGAGTGCACTATAGCTGACTGATGCCCTAAAAAGGCACGGTCATGAAAGTTTTTTAATTTGCGACGGAAATTTGTGACGTCGCCATTGGAAATTCGAGCTAATTGGAAACGTGCAAGTCAAGAAAAAGCTGGCCGTTTCAGATTCAGTGTCTGCATAGTGTGGGCGCGGGTGGCAGTCGCTTGGGCGTGGGCGTGCTTCTTCAACATTTAAATGAGGATCGTTAAATGTTTGCATTGCATAACCTGAAGAAACGGTTAGCAAAAGCAACCAAGAGAAACAGCAACCAAACAAAAGAAGAAGAAGAAAAAATTAGTAAAATAATAGTGCGTTGCCGCCGCACACAAAAAAGAAATTACAACCACGCACACACAAAAACAAAAGACATGCTGCTGAAATTAAAGCCATGGGGCGCACAGTAACAACAGAAAACGCTTCAACATCAACAATTACAACAACCACAAAGGGGCAGAAGCAGCCTGTCAACCAGGCAATGCAAACTTCGAACATAATTCAACTTTCACTTTCACTGAAGCAGAGAGACCAGTGTTTTTGTTTTTGTATTTGTTTTTGCCACCAAACGAACGACTCACACTCGCTCCCGCTCATCGCAGACCAAAAAATCACCTTCGCATAGCATCAGCAGATTTGCTGACAAAAGCAACAACAACAAAAACACAAACAAGATCAACAACAACAACGACCAGTGGCCTTATGCAGATTTTTTACTTGCTGGTAGAGCTCAGCAGCAAAAGTAAAAACATAAATACATATATACATACGATACGTACATGAAAATTGTGTAAAAATGAATCCAGTTAGATACCGATAATACATTTTAAGAGGCGATGCAGTGTTTCTTATATAGCTCGGCATACATACATATGTATGTACATACATACATACACGTATGTATGGTTTTGTTATTTGTGCATTACAAATGAATAACATTATATACTATATAGGAGCTAGGGTAGGGTTTTAGATATCTTTAAGTTACAGAAATGAATTGGGGTGGTTTTCACGTTCGTTATATATGCTATATTTTATTTAGGTTATGTTTTATCTGGTAGATGCAAACTTCTCAAAGTTAAAGCAACGTTCCTAGTTAATATTTTTATCTCCAAACTGTATTTAAAGCTTTGGCTTTTAGTTTTGGTTCGTGTTTTGAAGAGGCGTACAAATATTTCAATATTATAAATGTTCATAGTTCGAAAACAACTTTACTTAGTTTTGTGTATTTGTTGGTTCGCTCTACAGCAATGAACAAACAACTGACAAATATTTCACCATCAAAATAATTTCATCCAACAATAGAAATGTTCATAAGTATGTTCGAAAAGTTAACATAGCTTTGTGGATTTATGGGTCGCGTTTCGGCCAAGAAAAAACAATTGACTTCGTATGTATGAACGTACTATGCAATTGTTATTAAATTTCGCCCATGAATTAATGTCCTACATTATAAAACAATTGCTACATTTTGGCCTTTCTGAACACACCAAAACATACATACATAGATTGTTAAACAAAGCGCTACAAAGTGAACTTATATAGAATTTTAAGTTATTTTATGACATAGGTAGTGTAGGGAATGCGGCGTAAAAGTGACGAGTTTTGTACATTTCGTACGAGTATGTATAAAAATACCCCAGTTTTCCCTAATCAATATAATCGGCTGAAGAACCTGACTAATTTTTTAAGAATTTATATATTTACTACCCGACCTAAATAATGTTAATAATAATATTATTTTATTTTATTTAAAAATTTAGTTTGATTCATTGAAATTAGAAGCTGTATATATGTATCTATATATATAGTTTCTAAACTAAACAAACTAGGTCGGGGAGTAGATAAAAACGGAAACAGGAATCTCTATTATCGGTTAAAGCTTTCTGCACAGTAATGTACTCGTTTGGAGGTTTTTTTTATTTGAATACACCACTGGAGTTTTTATTAAGTTTAGTTTGATGGGTTTGTATCCTATGTCCAATCTCAAACAATTGCCAATTTTGCTGGTTTATTCTCGTACTTGTTAGTAATTAACTTCTCATATCTCATGCTGCTGCCAACTAAGCGTAAAATCTAAGACAAGAGCCATCAGACAGCCCTAGTTACCAGCTCGGTTGGCGTCCAAGTTTCTGCCGTGAGTAAAAGTTTTTGCCTTTTTAATTAAAAGAAACTCACGAGCGCAGAAATTTTCTATTGAGCTGCAACTGCGGCTCGCTTCGATAAACGCGACTGACGACTGCCTGTTGCTTACTGCCAACAGCAAAATGTCACAGTTTAACCATGGCAAGCTCCGGTAGGCGGTAGAGCGACTGATAGACAGACAGACTGGCTGACTGACTATAGCAAGCCAGACGGGGTAGACGGCTGACAGGGCGCTTAATATACTTACTATAATTTCTCATCCGCTAAACTTTTCTTAGAATTACTCTCATTGCTTGTAACAAATTTATTTAATTAATTTTTATAGTTTATTGTATCAGGGGTTTTGCACAAATAACAAACGAAGCGGGAAACTTTATTCTCGCATGCCTTGCTTGTTACACTTTTTCATTTCGCACACATATTTTCGTGCGCAGATACATGTAGTTTTTAGCTGTACCTACACAATAAAATGCAATTTATTTATTTTGGCTAAGAAATGAACTTAATAAAAATGTAAGCGAATGCTGCATGCAAGAAACACGAACAAAAAAAAACAATAAATAATGACTGTTTTTATGACCCAAAATGAAACAGACTGAAATATTATTTCTATTTCTTACAAATTATGAGCCTGCCTACATACAACAATAAGGTAGTTTTCCTTTTTATTTATTGAGCCACAACACATCTAATGAGGCACGATTTCCAACCACCTCACAAAATAAACAAGATCACAAATTTCTTCTGTGTTGATTGCTCAGCCTTTGCCACCCATCATAACAAATTTCAAACTGTGTGGCACAGAATCTTTGGAGAACATCTGTGTAAGTTTGGTTGTACCCGCAGACGGTTCTTAGCACTGTTTTCTTCAATGTACTATATAAACGACTTTTCCCTCCACACATATGATATACAATGAAAAGAGTGATTTGGAGAGGCGTTTATAGAGAAGCAATCATGCTCTCTTGCGACCATTTGTGACAGTTATTCGATTTACTTACATGTACATATATGTGTTAGGAAACAATAACTTACAAGGTAACATTTATTTTCAGTCAAATGTTTCATTGCGAAACAAGAGAGAACGCAGAACAGTCCAGCAAGCTCAACAGTATAATAGCCTGTACTCTCCACAAAAAAGGAAAATTAAAAACAAAATTATGAAAAAATATTGAATTTAAAAAAAAAGTAAATAATTTATTAAATTAAATAAAATATATTTAATACATACAAAAGTGCATACATGTTTATGTACAGTTTCAACAGCATACATTTACATCATCGTGTCTATGCGTGTTTATATGCGTGTATGTTTGCAGTACATAATTATGTCAAAGCAGCAACAACAACAACAGCTGCGTGCAGAGCTCCGTCAGAGAAAATATTTATGGCTATAACTTTCGTTTTAATTAACCTATGGAAATGAAATTTGGCATACGGACTCATAATCATTAACCGGAGGTACTTGCTGAGTACAAAATTCCAGAAATTACGGGAGTTATGGAAAAACACGAATTGCGGGGGAGTGGGGGGTGTATCAAAAAAAAAACAAGAGAGAACGCTACAGTCGAGCAAGCCCGACAGTGTAATACCCTGTACCCAGGTAAACTTCCATCACTGAGATATATTGTTGTACTGGCGAGAATTTGTTTCGCTAATAACTTTTCTTAGAATTGACAGAATTGAATAATTGAAAATTTTAAACAAAAGTAGATAATTATTTATAAATTATGTGTGCAAAGTTTGGTTTAGATAGCATTTGAAATGTGGACGCTATTGACGAAATTCTGCAGCGGGGGAAGGGGGGGAAAATTTAAAAAATAAAATAAACTCGTCCTTACTCGGACCTAGGAGAATCTGGATGCCAACTTTGGTTATTCTAGCTTTTATAGTTTCTGAGATCCTTGCGTTCATCCAGACGGACAGACGGACGGACATGTCTAGATCGATTTCTCTCGTCATGCTGATCAAGAATATATATACTTTATGGGGTCGGAGATACTTCCTTCTGTATGTTACATACTTTGCACAAACCTAATATACCCTTTTTACCCTACGGGTACAGGGTATAACAAGAAAGGAATGCCAAAGTCGAGCAGGCTCAACTCTTAAATACCCTGTACCACCCCACAAAAAAGTTAATTAATTTAATTTAATTAATTAACTAAATTAAATATAAAATATTCCATGCATGCATACATACATTTACATCAGAATCGTGCCTTATGCGTGTTTGTGTACTTGTACATATGTATGTATGTGTGCATTGGGCCTGGTTATATGGCTATAACTTTCTTTCCGATCATTCTATCATAATGAAACTTGGTATGCGGATATATAATTACTAACCTAATGTGACTCAAAATTAGTTCAAAATTCCAAGAATTACGGGAGTTATAGAAAATCGTTAATAGGGGGGAGTGGGGGGATGGATCAGAAAAAATGAACAAACTCGTCCTTTCTCGGGCTCAGGAGAATCTTTCGGAGATCCTTGCGTTCATACAGACAGACAGACGGACAAACAGACGGACAGGCGGACATGGCTATATCGACTCGGCTTGTCATGCTGATCAAGAATATATATACTTTGTGGGGTCTACCAAGCCTCCTTCTGTGTGTTCCATGTGCACTCGCACAAAACTAATATACCCTTGTACCCTTTGTGTACAGGGTATAAAAAAACACAAACTCGATTTGCCTAGGGCTTAAGGGAACGTGAATGCCAAGTTTGGTTATCCTAGCTATTGTACTTACTGAGATCGTTGCGCTCATACAGACAGACGGACATGG